GCTAGAAAAATAAAACCATCTGCTTTTTCATCCTACATTGCTGCAATAAAAATAAATGAAGCGAGATGAACAAACTGAAAACTTTATTTTATTATATTAAAACAGATTCTGACAAAGTGTTTCCTTAATTTGCAATTGTATAAAGGTAATAAATTGCAATATATTGGAATATATGTTATTTCAATACTCAGAATATTGCAAAACATTTAAAATCGCAATAATATTGTATTGTGACCTAAGTATGGTGATAATTTTGTATCAGGGGGCCTCTGGTGATTCCCAGTCTTTGCTGTGTGTTCATGTGAGACATAAGCAAAGTGAGGTGACAGTCAGCCTTTGTCGCCACTAATTATTTGATATTGATTTTGTGTGTCTGGGCTTTAACATTAAAGAAAAACAAATGTAATTTCTTAAGATTTTGTCCATGTGTCAAAAAAGACACTGTCTTTTTTCTCTGCAGGTTTTCTCCACATATGATAATAGTGAGAGGAATACAGTCAAGTGTAGATGAGGTTTTAGTGGTGATGCAGTGACTTCTGCCTCAAACGGTGGCCAACTCAGCTGCAGTAATGTTATGTCTATCAGTTTCTCTGTAACTGTTGCCTTAAGTCCACACAAAACCTTGTATTTTTGGAGTTACCTGTCATGAATGTGGTCAAACTATAAGCCATGTGTGGCATTTAGGCAGTGGAGCCAGTGTATTGAGAGCACAGTGCACAATGTACCACATAGACCTAGCTATTCACATATTTTATTTGTGTGTGTGTTTGCCAATGTTGATTCAGCTTTGTGGTCATTGTTGAGAATTTGCGTTTGCCCTTTTTTTTGATGGATGGTTGAAAATAGAAAACATGCAATAATGTTGTCTCAGTACACTACCACAAACGACAGCTTCAAAAAATGATCAAAGTTAAAGCATGATTTCAACAACATGAAGTGCATAATAGTTTGAAGGTGTTTGTTTTGGTTGATCCATGTATTTATTTCTGTAGGAGCGTAACTACTGAAGTATTTTTCTAATTATCTTGTACTGAAAATACTCTAAGTTAGATTGTTTTTGCCCCACTGAGGCATTTTCAACAGAAGCTGTCATAAATTTGTCATAAACACACAGTAACCACAATGTGGCATGGTTAGCAGGGAGCTGTAATGTTTGCAGTATGGAACTGTTGTAAATTGGAAGTGAAAGCAGCCCGACAGCTGCTTATGATTTAATAATAGCTCTAATTCAGAGTACAGTGTGTCTGCAATGCCCGTGCTTCATGGAGCGGCAGTAAAGATTCATTTCAACATCACACAGTGTTGCCAGTTAGCATCCGGCTACTTCGGTAGGTGTTTTTAATCGTGATCAAGTTACTTCTGAGCTCATTTCCTCATCTGATGGTCGTATTATTTTGTCTGCCTGCCGACAGTCCAGTATTCTCTCAATAGAGACAGAGGGTCCAGGCACAGATAAGTGTCGCTGAGCCAACATGCCACAGGATGATATCACCTCTTTTTGTGCTGTCTTGGCCAAATAATGTTGCCTGTCTCCTGGGTAGACAGATCCCAAACAGCTCAGCCATGGCAGCCGTATTCTCTTGTGAATGTGATGCAACTGGCTCTAGTGTGGAGGCTGCTGCTGCTGTTATAGCTTGACTCTGCAGGATTAGCAAATGTTATCACTGGTCACAGGAGTGGGCCCATTCTTTCTTTACACAATGCCACATGTGCTGGTTGCTGTAGCAGTGACCAGTTTCCCCTCAAGATATCATTAAAGATTAATCTCATCTCCTCAACTTACCTGTGAAAAGTATGTGATAATAGCATCACTGTGTGAGTTTATTGATCATGTTAGTTAGTCAGGAGAGCGAGAAATGGTTAATACAGTCGAATCCTGACTGCGCCACACCCCCCCCCCCCCCCCCCCCCCCACCCCCCACCCGGGGGTTTGACATTCTGCAAATGTTAAGACCACAGGTCATACTAAATGTTTTGCTGTGCCAGACGACGAAAATCTAACATCCTGGGAAGTGAAATGTAACCTCGAGCTCACAGTACCCATGAGAGTGTTTCATCCACTTAAATGCCATTAAATGCACAGAAAGTCTCCTTCTCCAGGGAGAGGGGGCTGCAGACACTGAGCTCCAGGCATTACATGGCTGATTATTCTCAGGGGAAATGGGCTTTGAGCTGCTCCTTATTTGGGATCAGCTCCCTGGCTCCGAGTGAGTTTTTAAAGTTGTGGATCCCAACCTTTTTAGTTCATGAAACAACAGACAAAAGCAGTGTCGAATTGTGATCCCCTGACATGCCCAGACTGAAGAAGCCATACCACAGGAGGTGTCCCCACTTGTGTTTTTCAGTTCATAGTGTGTAGTGTGAGGGTCTGAGGACTGAAGGATGTAATATGCTGTTGTAGGCAAATTGTGAATTGTAATATTGGGCTTAAAAAATAACTTAAATTGAATAGTGGATTGGTACTCAGATCAGGGGAGGGAGAAGCAGCTCTGGGAGAAAGCACACTTTAAAGGTCCAGTGTGTAGAATGTAGGGGGATATATTGGCAGAAATGGTATATAATATTCATCACTAGTTTATAATCACCTTAAACAAAGAATTTTTGTATTTTTGTTACCTTGGAGTGAGCTGTTTATCCACATACAGAGCAGGTCCTTTTCCACAGAGTCCGCCATGTTGTTTCTACAGGTGCCTGGAATGGATAAATCAAACACTTGCTCTGGATAGGGCTATTCGCGTTTTTGCATCTGCTGCTGTAGTTCATTTGAGAATTGAGTTTTCTAGGATACAGCAGATGTGACCTGCCTAACTCTCCATGTGATTAGTTAGTACTTGTTGCCTTTGCTGGTTTGGCTGGTGAGGGTTAGGCAAGATAAGTGAGATTGGTTAGGGTAAGAATGTCAGGGTAAGCCAATGAGAGGCAGAGTTTGTTCAGAGCTTGAATATCATGCTTTTATGCCACCTTCCTGCCTTGCAGTTCTGTATAAACGGTACAATAGTGGAATGGGGGGACAGAGTATCCTTGCCTCTGAGCTGGGAATGGAGGTATTAACAGTGCCGGTTAACAGTATTAACAGTGGAGGTATTCATGGGCACCACGGGTGTAACGTTTTGACGTGTTATGTGTGCGTCCCACTGCGGGAAATTTAAAAAGGAGCTGATAGCAGTTGGCGGCTAACTCAAAGAAGAACAGTGGCCAAAAATATCCCAAAATTGAGACAACAATGAGGTCTAGGAGCTCCTTACTCTCTTAGCAGAGGACAAGATCAGCAGCCATATTTAACAGACACTAAATGATTGTTATTGACATGTTATGCCATTGCTGTTGTTTATTAAGAACTGCCGATGCCTATGTTATAAGTCACACTAGAGGCTAATGCTGTTGTGTTACGTGTCACATAGGGCTGCAGTTCACCTACTTGACTGGCTCGTGGAGTGAATAGAGGAGAGGAGGGTAGGGGCAGTATTGCGCACGCGCGGCTTCCGTAGAAGACAAAATAACATCTCTAGGCGTCCTGATCAAAAATCGTTTACCCTCGATTTCATTCATTTTAAATCGTTTGACCTCAAAATCGTAATCACAATCACCAGACGATTAATTGCACAGCCTTTGTGTCACGCCTATTAAGCCTCTTTTGCTTTCACGATGCATCACATGAGATGTCGCAGATGTTTGTTTTTGTGTAAAAATGCAAAGGCGGCATAAAGAAGGGACTTTGTAGCAGCCCTTTGGCGTGATCTCTGCGTAAAAAGGGCTTGACAAGTACGGGCCATGCCTTTGCTATCACAGGAAAATGCAAATTCATGCTTAGCACATGGGAGAAGTTAAAGTTGGCCACTAAATCCTACAGACCAGATCTTTCAGAGTGAGAAAGAATATTTGTTAATGCTGAAGAAGCACAGCTGAAGAAAATCTTCAATCCGTACATACTGTTCCTCGTGAGAAGTAGCTGCTTTGCATACCAGCATACACATAGCAAGCTTTTAGGTAACATGGGAATAGAGAGGAGAGTTCATCAAAATGTTGTAGTTCCAGTCAAGACAGTCGCCACTATGAGGAAATACACCAGATAACCTCAAGCTGTCATAAGTCACCCAACATAGGCCTTTCAACAACAGAATGTTCCTGATTGTAATTTAACAGCCTTAAGCTGTCAAGGCTGTGAAGAGTCGTACTTAAGTCACCGTTTCTGTTCATTTGATCCACGCTGAACTGGAAAATTCAGTAGTGTTACAACACTGGTGGGAAATGTTCTCCAGGCTAGATGAAACCTGTTGAGAAACTTGATGTTTGAAGGTTGTGTCATAGATGGGCCTGATGCCAGATGGGTCTGAATAGTCAACCAGGATCTCAACCTCAACCTCAACCTTCCACCCATTACTAACATCTGATCTGTATCTGGATAATGATAACTGATCTCAGCACCTTTGCATTTCCACCTTGCATTAAAACACATTCTTGTTATCTCGATTCTGTCTGCATTGTGATTGGATCTCAATATGCAAAAATTATAGCCAGGGCTTTATCTTTTGTTGTATGAATTGTGAGATAATGATAGATATAAGGCATTGACATTACAGTGTGTGCTTGCATGTATTTGATTGGCTTACACAGGGCCTTATGGGTGACATTTCACCCAAAGATACAGAAATAAAAAAACAGATGAGATAGATCTGTTACATTCTTATAATTACACATATTTTAGTAGGACAGCCTACCTACTTGGTAACACTTAAATTAGACCTAACTTTGGCATGTAGTAGGTCAACAATATATCACATTTCCACAATCATTTTAGCAGTGACATAAGCTTTTATTTTGGTAGACATTTAATTAAAGGATTTTTAAAGTCCTCATTTGAATCTGATGCTTTGATGATAAAAAGAAACAGATCAAGTCACACTTAAATTGTCTTTATGAAGATGCAGTCACTGTGCATTGAGCAGTAGTGTTAATGGTGAGTGTTTCCCTTCTCTGATGAATCTCTCTCTGTTTTCCAGGCTAGGTGTGTGCGTGCTGACCTCATGGTGTAACAGGAGTAAAGATGAGCATTAGCAGTGATGAGGTCAACTTCCTGGTCTACAGATACCTACAGGAGTCAGGTATCTTCTCAAATTCTTACTATATTTATCAAGCTTTTTTTTTTTTTTGTTACCTTAAAATGTCATAACATATTTCTTATTAACCAACTTTTATTTGTGCGTAGTTTATGAGTTTGCTTTCCTACCAGTCTGATTTTTACATCTAATGTCATGTTGTTTTGTTTTTCATTATTTCTAAATTTAGTTTTGGTTTGATATGGAAACAGTTGCAAATGAATTTAAATGACTGAAGGTCCAAAGTATAGGCTGTATGTAAAGATGGACGTGTCTCCACTTACCCCCACTGTTCATAATTGAAGCCAAAATATTCTGGAGACGACCGTTGCCATCTTGTGCTGGTGACATTGTTTGGCACCAGAGTCTACGTAGTTGCAATTTCTGCAGCGTGGAGCTCCTGCCCATACACCTGTCCGATCAGTCTCAAGCAGCCACAGTGATCATGATCACACTGTTGATACACAGAGCTGTCAATCCTGACATCAGATTCCCCTTTACAGCACCAAATAACCGATTAAAACCAAACTTATCAGAAAAATAAACACTTGAACATTGTGTGATAAGAGTTAACTAAACAACTGAAATCATCTTTGTGAAAAAAAGTAACTTGAGATGTACTTTGAGTTTTCAGTTTGGCCCATGTCCAATATGCTTACATGAAGGGGGTGGGGTTCATGACCTACACTGCAGCCAGCCACCATGGACCGTCATGTCCCCCATCTTTTATATACAAGTCCACACTTCTACCTCACTGGTTTTGTGTATGAATGTGTATGTATATTGTGCAGGCCATGCCTATTGAGGGGAATAGCCATCTCTGTTATTGCTTGTAATGAAGATATATCCAGCAGGCCCCTTTAAGCTGCATTTTAGTTTACTGAGTCAACTTGGTTACTGTGTATACATAACGCAGCATCTAGTATGGGCCAGCGTATTGTATGAAAGGCACATCTTAGTAAAGAGAAGTTATTGATGGAAAATGACACCATACAGATGGATAAACACATCCTCTGTCAGTGTGTGTGTGTCAGTGTACTTTCAGAATGAACCATAGAGTGGGATAAAGTGAGGGGGTTATAACTACTTAATCAGTCATAGGTGGTAAACAGGCTGTGTTTATGTAGCAGTGCTACCATGAGAAACAGTGCTAAAGGCTGTATGAAGAGTGGCTTTCACCCACACACACATACATGCTGCTGCCATGCAAAGTAGTGACTTCAGCCCTTTTTACACAGAGATCGTGCTATTGGGCTGCTGCAAAGTCCCTTCTTTATGCCGCCTTTGCATTTTACACAGAACAAAGTATCCAGTATATGATTTTAGACAGCATGCCAACATTGTGAAAGTGAAAGAGGCATGATGGGATACCATGTCAACAGCATAACATGGTAATAACAATCATTTACTGTCCTGTTATATGGCAGCTCATCTCATCCTCTGGTCGGAGGGTAATGACTCCTGGACCTCATTATTTTCTCAATATGCGAATATTTTTGGCTGCTGTTCTTCTTCTTCGAGTGAGCTGCTAACTGCTGTCGGCTGCCTTTTAAATCTTTTCATACATAACGTTGTGAAATCATTGCACCTGTGCCACCCATGATCCCATCCTGCTGCCTGTCCCATTTCTACTGATTTGGTTTTGGCACTGTTACTACCTCTGATGCTGGCTTAAAGCTGAGTCAACTGTGTCCCTCCATACTATGATTATACCTTTTATAAATAATGGTGAGGCAGAATAATGGCATGAAATTCCCGCCTTAAAGACGCCATGTTAAAGGGGCTGTAGGGACACATTGCACATTGCACATTGAGAAAGAACTCAAGATCAGTTGGATAAATGGTGGTGCTTTTCACCCTGACAAAAAAACTTGATAATTAAAATGAGTCTCTAAATAATACTTCATTGGCCAGTAGACTCCCAGGCTTCCTGTCCTTTGTGTGTGGATCTGTAGATGTGACAATAACCTTTATCCCTCTGTGGTGAGCTATGTAAACCAAAACCCACATATCACCGTGGAGGAGCTGCCAGAAGGCTCAGTTCAGCTGGCACTGCTCCACTGTCATATGTGTGTGTGAATGAAAGCGTCTGAAACTTCCCATCCTATGCTACATATCATATTTATTACATCATATAGTTTGTAAGGCACAGATGGCTCTTGTAAATCAAAAATCCTTTCACAGTTGTATTGTTCCATCTTTTATTGAAGCATGAAAGTGGAGCAAAAAGCAATCAGGAAACTGTGAGAGATTACAAGCCCAGCCATGTTTTCATGTGTGCATTTTTCATAGATGGAGGGGTCTGCGCTCAGCTGGCGCTGCTGTTGCAAAATTGGTCTTTTAAGTCCAACATGTAAATCCTCTTTGTTGAATAGAGGTTGTAATACAAGCATTCTCTGAGAAATGCTCAAGAAATTGAAAGTAAAGAATAGTAGCAGGAATAAGATGGCTCCATGGCAGTCGACAAAACACAAAATGTAGTTCTTCAATAAATCATGAGGGAAATATTATTTCCTGTGATATACAGAGCATTATGCTGTTGCTGTCCAATGTGAAAAATATCTTCTCCTCTCCTGCCCTCTTTCTCCCTCTCTCCTCCTCTCCAGGGTTCTCCCACTCAGCGTTTACTTTTGGTATAGAGAGTCACATCAGCCAGTCCAATATCAATGGTGCTCTGGTTCCCCCTGCTGCCCTCATCAGCATCATCCAGAAGGGCCTGCAGTACGTCGAGGCTGAAGTCAGCATCAATGAGGTGGGACATGTACAACATAATAGAAACTCTCCTCTCCTCTCCTCTCCTCTCCTCTCCTCTCCTCTCCTCTCCTCTCCTCTCCTCTCCTCTCCCTCTCCCTCTCTAACAGATTATTTCTCCCACTGCGTAGGACGGCACGTTATTCGATGGGCGGCCCATTGAATCCCTGTCCCTGATTGATGCTGTGATGCCAGACGTGGTTCAGACGAGGCAGCAGGCCTACCGAGACAAAATGGCCCAGCAGCAGGCTGCTGCTTCAGCACCGACATCGGCCACTGGAGGCAGCATCGCTGGCAACACCAAGAATGGAGAGAATACTGCCAACGGGGAGGAGAACGGAGCCCATGCCTTAGCTAGTGAGTAATATACCAATAGAAAAGGACGTCCGATGACAATGGTTAGCTACCTGCAATTTTTAAGCTATGTGAACAGTATGTTTATTAAGGAGGACAAAATGTTTTGACCCTGGGAATAGTAGTTTCACAAAAAAATCCAAGAAGTGTAATTCTTTATTAATGAAATATTACTTTACAGAACACTGTGAGAGTTGATCATTCACACTTACTTACAGTGGTAAAGAATGGCAAAGACCTTCCAAAAAAGTTGATAATGTATTTTCTATGAATTCCTGTTGTTAACGTGACCTCTTGCCTGGCTGTGTTTCACCCCTCAAACTCTGTGCTTAGACAACCACGCAGACCTGATGGAGGTGGATGGAGATGTGGAGATACCTCAGAACAAGGCCATGGTCCTGCGGGGCCACGAGTCAGAGGTCTTCATCTGTGCCTGGAACCCAGTCAGTGATCTTCTGGCATCGGGGTTGGTGTTTCATACCTTCTCTTGTGACACTTATCCTAAACCCTTGTTCTATGCTTGTGTGTGTGTGTCTCGATTCTTTACCATCGTATGCCTTTATTAGGCAGTGCCAGTAGAGAGGTGATATGAAACAAGGTCGAGATACTGGGCAATGGACCCCAGCTGGACTACAACCAAGTCAGCATCTTAAACCCTAAACCACGGAGGGGTCCATTTATTTCTTGTTTTTTCCAAACTATGGCCCATACCCTTAGTTCATATCCTCGCATTCTAGAAGCTGGAACCAGCAAGCATTTGGTTTTTAGCCTCTGTGCGGGCGATAGCCATGGTCGGAGGCATGATATTTTTGGGTTGTCCATCTGTCTGTCCCATTCTCTCTAACCCGATACCCCAAGGTGGCCTTGAGGGAATTTTTTCAAATTTGACACAAATATCCACCAACGAACTGATCAGATTTTGGATGTCATAGGTCAAAGGTCAAGGTCACTGTGATGTTGCATCTGTCGCATTCTCGTGAACACAATATGTCAAAAACACATTGAGGGAATTTCTTCAAATTTGGCACAAACATTCACTTGGACTAAACAATTAACTGAATAGAATTTAGTGGTTAAAGGTCAAGTAGTCTGTGACCTTGCATCTGTCTGATTTTTATGAACATGATATCTCAAGAAGGCCTTGAGGAGGATTCCACAAATTTGGCACAAACATCCACTTGGACTCAAGAATGAACAGAAATTGGTGGTCAAAGGTCAAGGCCACTGTGACCTCATAAAACATGTTTTTGTTTATTCAAATTTAATAATATTGTCGCACTTCCCCAGCAATACACCCACCAAATCTGAAGTGACTGGATGAACCGTTCTTGAGATATGTAAAGGTGACCTATACATACATACAGACAGACAGACAGACAGACAAAGATTCTTTGCTTTATAGTCAGATGGGTGTAAACTGTAAGTGCAACTTGATTGGTTTGCAGAGGCATTCAACGGCAAGGCGGTAATTCTAGTGTTACATGATAACTTAATAATAATAATAAACTTTATTTATATACACCATTGATACAACACTCATACAACTTTGAGTGCCATGTTGTTGTGATAGTATGATCACGTGTTAAATACATTTCAGTTGTCTAAATTAATGATGTCAACCGAATTGTAATTAAAAACTAAAGAAAGGAGTTACTGAAAGTTTTGCACACATTTAAATGTGTCCCCAAAGTACTGCGTAACAACATTAGTTTGAGTTTTTTAAATGTTATGTTGCACACGTTTGCCGTAATGTGATATAAATTGATATAAGATTTCTCACTGATACTGTGACAATGATTTTGACCTTTGACCAGCTGCTGTTTGATGGCCACAGTGTGATCAGTGAATATGGCAAAGTTACATGAAACAACAGTTCAAATCAAATCTAATGATGAAGAATACAATACTGCTACAGCTTCAGCTGTTTTTGATAAAATCCAGAGAAAAACTGCTGACAAACGATGCATAAGAGGAACTTGTTTTCTATTGAAACGTGATTAATATTGAAATGTATTTGTCTGTCTCAGGTCTGGTGATTCAACAGCTCGTATCTGGAACCTGAGTGAAAACAGTACAAGCAGCTCTACACAATTGGTCCTGAGACACTGCATAAGAGAGGGAGGGCAGGACGTCCCCAGCAACAAAGACGTCACCTCGCTAGACTGGAATGTAAGCGCGCTAACACGTTCATGTAACATGTGAGTCACCCTGCATGGGTGCATTCATTTCAAATATGGGAACAGGTCAAAGCTGTAGGAATGGTATAAATATTTGTCGCATATGTGAGAGTGCTGTTTCATACGATATCATGCTATTTGACAGCCAAACTTTTTAAAAAATATATTTATATTCCCCTTTTTTTTTGGTTTCCAATCTACAGAAAAATACTTGGACTCAGGTTGCTACTGCTTATTATTTTAAATGTTTGAACTCTTAATAACCATGCATAGAAAGCAAAAACAACAACACATACTTTGTACTGAATGTACATGTACAGTCCTATATACACCATAAAGGCAAATTGCAACAAATGTCTCATCACAGAAGAACTCCCAGAGCGCTGTGAACATAACTGTTAATGATGTCTAACAGTGGAAGATCATCAGAGAGTGGAATTTTCCTTTAGTTGAGCCAGTGGATTGTAAACCTGAGCCAAGGGCAGAGGCAAAAATTTCCTGGAAAGCGTCCATGCTGATGAAAAACACAGGCCTCCCTTCTGATCTCAGCTGAATTACAGCTAACGCTCATTCAGCCTGGACTCTGTGAGGCAAATTCTGAAACTGCAAAAGACAACGTGGGCCTGCAAACGTGTCCAAACTGGCCTTGCCAGGCTCATCTGTCCAACACACACACTCTCTAAGCCACTCTCACACTTCTCTCTCTCTCTCTCTCTGGCAGAGTGAGGGCACACTGTTAGCAACAGGCTCCTATGACGGCTTTGCCAGAATATGGACGAAGGACGGTGAGATGACTTAAAAATTATTAAACATTAGCATGTGTTCTTTGACCATAGATTTAAGACAGAATTGTATACCAAGAGTAATAACATATAAAAGTGTATTTATATACATAGTATATTTGCAAATATGAAAGAGTGAACACAAGTGTTGCTGTGGTAATGCTAATAATGAGTGTGCTGTGGTGTGTTTTTTTTTTTTTTTGCTTATCCTGTACTGCAGCCTGTATGCTACATGGCTGAGTTAATCCTTGAACAATGCTGCCACCTAGAGGCAGGTTTGCATATTGCCATTCAACTGATGACCCTTTTTGTGTTATTTAGACCCTTAATGGCTTGTTGTTATTTACAAATTTGATACTTACAGATTTCCTCCCCCCTCTGTGTGTTTTGCTCCACAGGGAACCTAGCCAGCACACTTGGCCAACACAAAGGTCCCATCTTTGCCCTAAAGTGGAATAAAAAAGGCAATTTTATCCTGAGCGCAGGAGTAGACAAGGTAAACCAGCATCTATTCTCTGAATCAGGTCGATATGTTAAATGACTTTTAGCATGATTTCTCATTAGGGCTGGGAGATAAATTGACTTAACTCTTTATATAAATTTTTGTATCATTTTTTTAAAGCTACTGGCATGAGGCTCGCATTGACGTTTTGGTTCCCCTGATTGCTCTCGTTGCTTTCTCCCTCACACAGACACACACACACACACTCACACGAAAGATGACACACAAACACTTTATGTGACATGCACTTTCCCACCCATCCATCTCTTCTGGGTGATTGTGTGTGAGCAGGCGAGGAATGTTTTTTGTATCTGCAGGGCTCCAGAAACTGACCATTTATTTCAGTTTTGCAACCATGGCGCACCGGTGCATCTTGCAAATATTATTAATTTGTATGCTGGAGAGCTGTTACTTTGTTTGATAAATCCTTATGGTTAACTTTCTGTTACCTGCTATCATCTAACTGTTGATCGGGAGCTTCAAGTTACTCGCTAAAACATTTACACATTTGGCCCGAAATGAGCTGCTTCAGAGTAAAGAGAAACAAACAGTTGTTCCTTTGAGTTATTTCATTATTATTCAGGCCATATCTCCCAGCCCTATTTCTCATGTAATGTTTTAATAAGTCAAACAAATGTACTGTGCAGTCATTGTTAGCCCTAACTGTACATGTACATGTGTCCTGCCAGACAACAATCATATGGGATGCCCATACAGGAGAAGCCAAACAACAGTTTCCCTTCCATTCAGGTACAAAAGCTTCTCTTCTTGTCTCTTAAAATGTTCCAGCTTTGGTGTTTGATCTTGCTAACATCCATCTTTCTACCTCCCACAGCTCCAGCACTAGACGTGGACTGGCAGAGCAACAATACGTTCGCCTCCTGTAGTACAGACATGTGCATCCATGTCTGTAAACTGGGACAGGACAGGCCCATTAAAACATTCCAGGGACACACAGTAAGTGCTTTGTTTGTGTGTGTGTGTACATATATATATATAGTTACACATTTGTATCCTCACTGCCAATGTATCTTTGCGAAGCACCTAAAGGAGATTGGAAGAGTGTTACTGTCACTGTTCATATGGATATTTGGTCTCAACTGGTTAGGATGGATTTGTAAGCATTCAGTTGGACCTAGGCTTCACATAAACTACATTCTATGCATTAGCTTTATTAAAACAGTACTTTCATTTGTAAATAGTATTGCAAGAAGAGAGCTGGATGGCACAAAGACATGACATACTGTATATACTTTACACCACAAAAAAGGTCTCTGTGTTTGTGCGTCTACATTCCTTCATCCCTCTCTTTTCTCTCCTCAGAATGAAGTAAATGCAATCAAGTGGGATCCCACAGGGAACCTGCTAGCCTCCTGCTCAGATGACATGACGTTGAAGGTGAGCCAAGAGCTAAACCCTGAGAAATACTGGACATCTTGTGTCATTAATATCACTGTTACTACTACCATAAAGGGAGTAATGATGTGGTCACGATGGCTGGAAAATCAGACAGTGATGATGACAGACAGTGGTCAAACTGTACAATGACTTGTGTAACTGTATTTGCTATGCCTGTCATTTAATGATGAATTTAAGTGAAGGATGATTTTTTTTTCTTACCAGATTTGGAGTATGAAGCAGGACTCGTGTGTTCATGATCTGCAAGCCCACAGTAAAGAAATCTACACCATCAAATGGAGTCCGACCGGCCCTGGAACCAACAATCCCAGTGCTAACCTCATGCTAGCCAGGTGAGTGTCTGCGTTACAAACAACAATGGTATGCAAGTTAGTTGGCCAATAGAAGGAGGAAAGAAGTACATTCTCTCTACTAAACACTGGCCTTTTAGCTTGCTTTACACACCAAATGTGTTGCTTGTAGTACTTTGTAATCAAATGCTATCATCATTTACTTTGCTTGGTCAGCTCACTAGTTGGTTTCCCAGTAAAAGTTTAAAAAAAAAAAAAAAAACAACTGCTAGAATGATAACTAACTTTGAATTAGTTAGTCATTTTCTTGCCCTCAGTGTGCCTTCAATAAGAGATTATATTCCTGACCTTTTGCTGCAGTGAAAAGAGTTTCCTTTTTGGCAGCTATTCTTTCAGCTGTCACTTTAATGGTGTTCAGCAGAAGAGGTTGCCACCCACAGAGCTCAAGCTTTCATATATGTTTGACTCAACATTACGTGCGGAACAGCGTTGTAGAGTATTGAGTTTCTGAGACATACAACTTTAATGCATTATGCCATACAACCTGACAGTTTCTGCCTTCAGTGTAGCAGAGAAGCAAAATGTCTTTCCGTGTCCCAGTAACCTAAACTTTGCACAATAGTTTTATTTGTGCACGTCTGCATGATAAGGCTACATTTTTGAAACATTGTCCCTATTCCACAGCAGCATTTCTGTAACCCTGCTTGTCCCTGCCTGTTACTTCCACAGTGCATCGTTTGACTCCACAGTTCGTCTTTGGGACGTGGAGAGAGGCATCTGTATCCATACGCTGACTAAACACCAGGAGCCAGTCTACAGCGTGGCGTTCAGCCCTGATGGTCGGCATCTGGCCAGTGGCTCTTTTGACAAATGTGTGCACATCTGGAATACACAGGTAGGAAGAGAATGTGATGAACATTGTGTTTGTCAACTGAATATCCTTTTATTTTTTATTCATTCTTATTTTATGTCTCTTTTAATGCCACTGTATTATTGTTGATGAGGGGAAGTGTGGTTGTGGTTTTTATGAGATACTGGACAGTTGAACTTCCCTTCAGGGATGAATTAAGTTCTTTCTGTCTATTCTATTTATCTATCTATTGAAAGCCATGGTCAGGTTAGTCTGTAGCTACTGAAGGTGTTATTGCAGCTCATGAAGGCTGTTCAGTCATGGCATGTGACATCACACTGTCCAGGCAAACATGCTGAAAAATATATTTTAAAGCTGCAAGCTGTAATAAGGAGGTCTTCACTGCATGGGTGTAAACCAGATAATGCACAACAGGGGTCGAACTGAATATGACAGAGTGTGTGATAGAAACGTGTCCTTGGACCGTTCCCTTGGTTTTCATTTTTTTACTGTATACATATAGTCGTGATAAAATCAGGACATCCTGTGAAAGTTTATCCTTAAGGAAAATGGACATATCAATATTTGATCTTCTTTTAAACTGTATATATAGGTAAAGGTGACGTAATTGACTCAAAAACAAAGAGCGGAAGAGCCCTGGTTTCCAGTTGTAGGCTGTTTGTAGTCCGTGTGATATTGACCAATCACGTTTGAGCCGGCTGCAGTTGCTGCCAGGCTAAACACTCCGTGCGGTGAACTAACGAGGTGAACTAACATAATTGACGTCACTGCAAACTCTGAATCCATCGCAATGGTTCAGCATATTTACTTATATATAAACGGAAGTTGGAAACGGAAATTCGCCTCCTCCGCCCAAATCAAACCAGACTGCCAAAAAATCGGGGGTCTGCCCCCAGAGGCTGTATCGCCGTCTGCCGGAAGTCAGATGCCAAATACAGCCGATGGGTTCCGAGAATGAGTTTTTTGTAACCCCCAGGTGACAAATGTGATACTTCCAAGCTTCTTTAATCAATATTTTTTAAATTAACCATAGCTCAACATCATTTAGCTCATTGTTTAGGTTTTTGCTGCAGGTGTCATCCACCTTGTTTCCAGCTGCAGCAGTATTCCACAGAGAAGTTCCAATAAACTGACTGTGCGCCACCTGCCCAGCACTAAACAGGAGATTTAGCAGTTTGAATGTTGGGCTCACATTCACCAGGTGGACAGAAATACAAGTGGACTGCTGCCCCCAAGTGGCCAAAGAAATCAATTACTGCAGTGTTAAGCCTCCTGCTGTGGTGTGTTGTGTTGTTTTATGTACACCACTGTGCTCAGTTCTGGCCAAAATATAGCAAAAAAGAAAGAATTCACATTAAATAATGTTTTTTATTTTCACAGAATCAGCCTTTATCCTACCTATTATCTGTCTCCTCACCCTCTGTTTCTGTCTCTTGTGCTGCAGACGGGCGCTTTAGTCCACAGTTACAGAGGGACGGGGGGAATCTTTGAGGTTTGCTGGAATGCAGCAGGGGACAAAGTGGGAGCCAGCGCATCAGACGGATCTGTAAGTATACACAGGACTATTTGGATAGATGTTCTCTAGCCAGGGATGCACTGATTTATTGCTCAAAAATTGCTATTGGGGGTGTCAGTGGCTGAATGGATAGAGCAGGCGACCCATGTACATGGCTGTTGCCGCAGCGGCTCAGGTTCGACTCCAGCCTGTGGCCCTTTGATGCATGTCATTACCCCTGTCTCTCTCCCCCATCATGCTTAGCTGTTCTATCAATTAAAGGCAGAAATGCCCCAAAAAATATCTGTAAAACGCTATTGGCCAATATTCGCCTCAGCTTATCAGCAAATAAGATGACATTCAACGGTGGCAGCAGCCGATGTTTTTCTGTTCTGTCACATCAATTTTGGTGCAGGCTTAAAAGCAGGACATGAAACTAACAGCGTCCCAGGGACAGTAACAAAAAATGTGTTTGGTACGAACGAAGATCATCACAGCAATGTCTTAGAGACGAAAGCACATAGTAAACTCACTATCGCAGCACCAGGACACACTCTATTTTCCCTGATATTGCTACATTGTGAACAACAATTCTGTGTTGACATCGGCAAGAGGAGAGCTAGTTATTGCTAGCTGTTTGCTGTTAGCTGTTAGTAGCTAGTGGCTGGAACTAACTGTTGACAGAAGTTGCATTGAATTACATTATGATTCATTCAAGCTCTTTTAGTAAAAATGGGTCTCAGGTGAAGGTAAATTATGACATTATCGTGATGCGTTTAAATGTAATCTTGTAAAATCTACTTTTGTATTAGAGAGGGAGTTAATATATGCATTTTTTAAAAGCTGTTTTTCATGTAAAAAAGGTTTCGTTAAAAGGTTGTTTTATAAATGTGTATGACTGACTGTGTTCATTTGAAAGTAGTGTAATGAATGGCTAAAATTACTTGAAAACAGTTCAGTCACTTTTATTCTTCCGAGGCCAGAGTTATTATGTTTTTGCGTTGTGCGTCCATCTCTCCCATTCTCATCGATGTAATATCTCAAGAAAGTCATGAGGGAAACTCTTCAGATTTGGCACAAACGTCTGCTTGGACTTAGCAATGAGCTGATAAGATTTTGTTGGTCGCAGGTCACTGTGACCTGGCGTCCGTCCCACTCTCATGGCTGAGATAACGCCTTGAGGAAAATTTCTTCAAATTTGGCACAAACGTTCACTTTGACTCAAGAATAAACTGATCCGAATTTTGTGGTCACTGTGACCTCACAAACATTTTTATGACAGAGTATGACATTTTATGGCAGACTATACTTTAACATTTTTATGGCCCTTTGATGTTTTTTAATGGCATTTCAGTGATTTTTTTCTCTGTCTCTCCTGTCCCCAGGTGTGTGTACTAGACCTTCGGAAATAGTGCTGCTGTTTGTTGGAAGCCATGGACCGACCATGAATGTGTACATAGCCAAATGACTGTCCCTGCCTGCCCTGCGTACTGCTCACGCTTACGACTATGGCCCCGCCCACCGACAGACAGGAAGCAGGAAACAGGAACAGGAAGCAAGCACCCGACACAGCAGGTCCAGACACAGGGATGAACAGATGGACGGACAGACAGACAGATGGATAAACGGGCGGATGGAAGCGCCCCTCTCTATCTGTGCAGACTCTTACAGAGATGCAGAAGGGACGCAGTGAAAAAGAAAAAACTGATAGACAAAAAAAAAAAACAAAAAAGTTACAGATCCGTATATGTACCAAAATTTGGAAGCTATTTTGCTTTTTTGATCTTTAAACCATGCTCATCGTCATGAAAATGAAAAACAATGAAAAAAGTGTTGATCTTTGTTACTAGTTGGATCTCATTGTGCAGACATATCAACTTCTCCACCATAAAATAGGATGGCACTTAGTTTTTTTAAATTTCAGATCTCTTGTTTCAATGTTTTTATATTTTTTATCTTTGCGGGAGGGGACAGGGGACGGTCAGGTCAGAGTTTTATTAATTGGAGAAGTACATGCATACAAACACAATCGGACACACACACCAAACAGTTCTCAAAAACAGTGTCCTCATCAAACCAATGTGGCAAATCTAAAGGCTTTTTTCTCTCCTGTATTTCAGTCGTGGTTTCTGCAGCTGCAAGTGGCTCACACGGTTAACCTCAAAATGCAGTAGTTCACGTGTTGTCTTCTCCAGAGGACAGACTCTGGATTCCCCTTGTATATCCACCTGGCCACATGACACAGATGCTGTACATCCAGGCGCTTTAAAAACAGCTCCTGTGTGCACTATTGGATCTAGATGGTCGCACCCACAGTTCTCCTCTCATAACAGTTACCTGGCTTAAAACATAAAGGTTCAATTGGCAAGAAGCTGACCTCCACTTGTCTGAATGTTCAAGGCTGTTTTTAGTAATGCAACAGTAAATCAGGTCCCATCTCTCATTACATACTGTCCTCAGCCAGTAGGACTCCATTACTTCTTTTTACCTGTACAAAACAGAGTTTACGCATCTGTGAGACTCCAAGCATTTCTAATGTGATTCACACTCGGAGGCTTCAAATCAGCAAACACATGATGTCCTGACGTGGTGGTGAAAAAGCAGAAGTGTTTTTCAATGTTTAGAATTTGCAGATTGTCAGAGGTAGATGTTCTGGAGGCCAAGATAACCTAAACCTAGCGACTAAAACTACAGAGGGCAGAGCCAAGGAAAAAACCTGTCGAGTAAATAATATCATGACTGTAGAGCTCAGCTCTGTTGCTGCATTCCCATGAAGACAGTAGAACATTACTCTCTGTTCTTTTTGGAGTGTTTACACCTTATTCCAGTACCTTCATTAAGCTCTTCTTCCTACCTCTGCTAAGAAGTTACAGGGTTTGTTTGGTTTGTTTGTCAGCTCTAAAGACTACTGGCCCAAAACCAAGAACAAACAGGCTGTAGTTTGCTTTTAATTAGCTGAATGGTTAGAGTAGAATGGGATTATTTACATGAGACTGGCAGCAGTGGTGGCTTTGCAGTCATTTATCAATGAGTTTGACATTTAAATGACAGTTTGTGGTTTTTATCAAGCTGTCAGAAACACCTGATATCTCAGATCCTGAATTTATGTAGTCGTCTAAACATACCGAAATGAACGCAGCACTGAAATTCAGTCAAGCTGTGTATGGAAACAATCCCGCATTCTTTACTCTATATAACAAACACTAAATAGTTCACTCTGTAGTGACATTGCAGCAAGGTTTTTGGACACGGGTGTTGTGTCCCACGACTGTAATTTTTTTTTTATTTTTTTTTTTATGATTTTTTTTTTAAAGCACTATACAGAGCATTCAGATAGTCAGATAAAGTGATGCACTATTTCAGGAGTGATTTGGAACACGGCCTGGCTGTATTTAGCAAGCCAGCTTAATCAGGTCCAACCTCTTAATGGCCACACCTGCCTGAGGTAGTGACATCGCCTATTTTTCAGTCTGCTACTTCCCTGGTCATGAATGAATGGTAAAATGCTCAATTTCCTTTAAGTTGTATTTAAACTAAAATTGAGTCTTTACCATGTAGATTTGCCAGTTTGCTAACTCTTCCACGGAGGGGAAACTCCCAGCCTGATCTCATCCCCAGGTCATCAAATACCGAGGCCTTGTTACGCTCCCCAGCGTGATATCAACACCAAAGGCACCCTTTAGTGTCTCTCTGAGACGCACCAGGCTTTCAGCTAACTCTACTGTAAACCCATCTGTGGCAGTAGCTGACGCTGAGAGTCACTGCTGTAGTAAAAAGAGTGAGAAAGTCCACGATGGGTGGAGGGGAGCAGTCAAACAAAACAAGACTTTAACCAGGAGAACAGAGTTTGCATCTGATGAGAAACCAAACGGTAATGTTGTAAAGTGACATTACGTAATTCATGTCACACACTGACATCACTCAAATGACATATTTAGGTCACATTATGTTACGTCATGTAACAGATTTACTTATTTTAATCAGAAGCTAACAGTAGTTTTATTGCCTTAACCGAACCTAACCTAGCATAAATTGCGTGTGACAATGTGTCATGTAGACACTCTAAAGGGTTCCTGTGTGTTGCTATGAGACACTGAGGGGTGTTAAAAGTGAGATCAGAAAAGAGATTGGTTTTTAACTTCTGTTCCTTGGCTCTGCCCTGATGAAGGTTTATGTTACATTATTGCCCTGCCTCCCCGACTCAACTAAAATTGAAATCTGAAGATTTTCTTTTTTATGTTTTAATAACAGAACATTTCTGTGGCACAGTAAGGAGGGGCAGTGTAACTTTAGGCTACCTTTACATGTAAAGAGAAAGAGATATGACATTCTGTTTGTTGTTCCCTTCAGAGAAACATCACAAAACTGCCTCAAACTACAGTCTCCTGCCTGAGATAATGCAGCAAATGAAGACTATTTTTTCCCCACTGTTGACTCATACTGGCTAATACTAGCTCACTACTCACAGTTAAGCTTAAAAGCTGATCCGACATTAAAGTAAGATGTGGACATTTTCATTTTTGTCTGCTTTTATTAGCATTAGAAGACAAATCAGACATGAAGAGGTCAAATTTGAAGTCTTTTATCTACAACAGCGTTGGTGAATTGAAAACAGTAAAATGTTGAGTTCAGTTCATCTGTCCTCTCACTGTTGCTCTTGGGTCATCATCACCAGAACTCTGCTCACATTTCCCTCGGAGGTTCCTTACTGACTAAACATTTTATACTCTTTTAAAGACAAATTTAAAGTTACATTTTTGTAATTTCTTTGTAGATTTGAAAAAAAATGTGAATTGATGATTTATTGGCAGTGTTAATTTACATGTTCTATAAATTTGAAAGATTTTTTTTTGTTTTGTTACTTTGATGCTATTGCAAATAGTAAAGGTTGACCCTGTAATGTAAGGCTCACTGAGCTGAGCTGTCATTCTGAAGGCACCTTGCTGGGGAACACTTTGTCCCCCGGAGCAAATCACCACTAAATTTGTCTATGTTTTAATAAAGAAATGTTTTACTTTTTCTTTTGCTTGAATCTTTTTGCGAAGTTTTGTCCCACGAAATGACACTTACACAGACGACAACTCAAAACCATTTAACTCTTTACATGGAATAAAATTGTAATTTTTCAATCAAGCCGAGACTTGAGGGAATTTTTCTGGTTCCCTTATTTCATTGTGACAGCTGGGAGTCATACAGATGTTTTGTGGATAAAGTTGCTCTGGAAGCAGACATAATCTCACTGGTTGAGTATGGACTTACATTTGTATTGAATTTGTTGGTGGAAAAAAAAAAGTTTTGCAGAGTGTTCAGAGTGAGCTTCAGTTTCAGCCAGCTGGAGTTTGTGATTTCTAATTGGCTGTTTTTTCTTTAATCAGATCATTAGTAGGATCCCTGGTCACTTAGGCAGTAAGGAAGGACTCTATAAAATATAATTGTGCAAAAATATCTATCTGCTAAAAATGTCATAAACCTGAGTGGCTGCAACAGCAGAATGACCATTATCATATTAGCCAGTGAAAACACTAATCAAATCATCCAGAATCATCATAAATTGTTCAAACTATTACTTTATATATTTGATTGGATTTTCACTAAACGATTCAGTTTTAAATGCTAATTAGTTAATCTACACTTTCAGGCTTCATTAGAAATCATTACCTCTGCCTCCAGAGCTCTGCTCCTGAGAAATGTTTGTACAACAACAAATCAGCTTTATTTTCTCCTGTACCCCTGTAATCAATCAGACTTTTCTACTAACAGACATCCAGAGATTTCATGTGTTCCCATTCAGAGTCCTGTGTACTATTATTTGTTTTATCTCCCTGTATTTAAAGCACTTCAGCCAACAGTTAAGAAAAAATCTCACATTGGCAAATTCCTCTGATGTGTCCATGCCATCCTTAGGTCTGTGCCACACGGTGTGTCTGGGTTAACGTGGCCAAAGTCGCCGAGTCAGCCTTTATCTGTGCCGCCACAACATGTCAGCATCATGTCAGCCCAACAGCATCTCTCCTATGGGCTCTCAAAGCCTTTGTTTTTTTTTCTGCAACTCGCATCACATCGATCTGTTGTCATTCAAGTCAGATCAGTGAAACAAAAGTCCAGAATAAAATATATTTTGATAAGAGATTTGAGTTTTTATTTGTGTGCGTGTGTGTGTGTGTGTGTAGAAATGCTGAGCTAATAAGCAGGAGTAAGATTACTCATGTCAGTGGCAGTCATGAATCCATGTTTTATTCGTGTCAAGACAAAAAGAACAGTTTTAATAAACCAATAAAACATTGATATCAAAGAGCTTGAACCTCCCTCATGTTCCCGTCCTCATGCTGGTGCTCTCAGAGGTACACAGCACACACAAAATAAAGAGGCATGCTTCACTCTCAGTGTGGACTTTTTAAAGCAGTGACTTTCAAAGTGGCTGAATCAGGTTATCTTTTGCACATCACATTCATGTAAAGGGAAGTTAAGGACTTTTGTCTCTGCTAAATGAAACCTCACAGTAGCTTCCACTATCTGCAGAGTTAGCCAACAGCATACAACAGATTCCACAGCTGTATTATGTACAGTGCCCTCCAAAAGTATTGGAACAGTGAGGCCAATTCCTTTATTTTTGTTGTAGACTGACAATATTTGGGTTTGACATCAAAAGATGAATATGGGACAAGAGATCAACATTTCAGCTTTTATTTCCAGGTATTTACATCTGGATCTGATACACAACTTAGAAGATAGCACCTTTTGTTTGAACCCACCCATTTTTCATGAGAGCAAAAGTATTGGAACATGTGACTGACAGGTGTGTTTTGTTGCCCAGGTGTCTCCCAATTACATTGATTATTCAAACAATAAATAGCACTGAATGTCTGAGCTCAGTTTCAGATTGGGTACGATAGGTTTTGCCTGTGCAGACTGCATTTAGAGGTGGAACCAACATGAAAACCAGAGAGCTGTCTATGGGTGAAAAAGAAGCAATTGTGAATCTGAGAGAAGATGGACAATCAATCAGAGCCATTGCACAAACATTGGCCATAGCCAGTACAACCATTTGGAATGTCCTGAAGAAGAAAGAAACCACTGGTGTACTAAGCAACAGACGTCGAACAGGTAGACCAAGGAAAACATCAGCAGTTGATGAGAAACATTGTGAGAGCTGTAAAGAACGACCCTAAAACAACTGTTAGTGACATCAGCAACAACCTCCAGAGGGCAGGAGTGAAGGTATCACAATCTACTGTTCGCAGAAGACTTCATGAACAAAAGTACAGAGGCTACACCAGAAGATGCAAACCACTCATTAGCAAGAAGAATAGCAAGGCCAGGCTGGAATTTGCCAAAAGGTACAGAGATGAGCCTCAAAAATTCTGGGAAAAAGTTTTATGGACTGATGAGACAAAGATTAACTTTTTCCAAAGTGATGGAAAGGAGAAAGTTTGGAGAAAGAAAGGATCTGCTCATGATCCCAAACATACAAGCTCATCTGTGAAACACGGTGGAGGTAATGTCATGGCTTGGGCTTGCATGGCTTCTTCTGGGACGGGCTCTTTCATCTTCATTGATGATGTAACACATGATGGCAGCAGCAAAATAAACTCAGAAGTCTACAGAAACATTTTGTCTGCTAATTTAAAGAAAGATGCAACCAAACTGATTGGGAGATCCTTCATCATGCAGCAAGATAACGACCCAAAACACACTGCCAAAACAACAAAGGAGTTCATCAGGGGCAAGAAGTGGAAGGTTTTAGACTGGCCAAGTCAGTCTCCAGACTTAAACCCAATAGAGCATGCATTTTACCTGCTGAAGAGGAGACTGAAGGGAGTAACCCCCCAAAACAAACAACAACTGAAAGAGGCTGCGGTGAAAGCCTGGAAAAGCATCACAAAAGAAGAATGCAAACGTTTGGTGATGTCAATGGGTCACAGGCTTGATGCAGTTATTGAAAGCAAAGGATTTGCAACTAAATATTAAGTCTCATTCACTTTAATCTATTTTAAGTTTATATGCTCCAATACTTTTGCTCACCTAAAAATTTTGTGTTCCATTACAAATAATGCTATCTTCTAAGTTGTGTATCAAATCCAGATGTAAATACCTGGAAATAAAAGCTGAAATGTTGATCTCTTGTCTCATATTCATCTTTTGATGTCAAACCCAAATGTTTTCAGTCAACAACAAAAGTAAACGAATTGGACTCACTGTTCCAATACTTTTGGAGGGCACTGTATTTATTCTTATTTATAGGATCTGATCTTACAGCAGTAACAAAATGAGACTAAAATAAATGTGGATGGGAGAGCAGTAAACAAATTCACACTGTAGTTCACCAGAGCAGAGGTTCCCGGCCCCTGGGCTGCACACTGGTACTGCAACCCAATCACCATAAAAAAAAATGTTCGTGTTGTACATTTTTGCAAACCAAGGACTCCACACATTTGTACATTATGTTTTGTAGCAGATTTGTTGTAACTTGATGTTTCTTCACAACGCTGTGTGCTCTGTACAGACTTAAAGAAATTAAAATGGAACAGTTCTTTTTGGCTGAACAAACATTTTGTTACTACAATTGAAACCATTTTTTATGGAAGTGTGTAAAAATTTCCCTTTTGAAAATAAAGGTGAAATTCTGCGTCCAGGTTTGTTTTTTTTTTGTTGTTGTTTTTAACATCGTAGATAAGCAAATGTACACAGTATAATAACCATAAATTTTCATACCACGGTATACTTTGAAACCAGTAAACCGCTGCAACCCTGGTCCACACAGCCATGAAAGTGAGAGAGGTGAGGAAGCATTCCCCCTCCAAATGCTCTTTGAAAAGACTATAATTAAAGCATTATTATTTATTATCACAGACCCCTCTCATGTCCTGTATTCACCAACTGAAGTTATCGGGTTCCGGTTCAATACAGTAGGATACTGGTTCCCAAACCTGGCTCCAATATGGGGTCACCAAAGCTTCATGGCCTGCAGTTTATCACTTGTTCTGTACTGTTATTGTTATGCATTGAATATAATATGAAACATCCATAAATATGTCACTCAGCCAGGGGTCGTCAGTTTACTCAATGACAGAATAGGGGTCCCTTTAGGAAAAAGGCTGGGAGCCACTGCAGCAGGAGATACCTGAATAGGTATAACAACTCTAACATCCCTCTGTCAGTGAATCACCTAAACTCAGGACAACAGGAAGGTGTAACATGAGGAGCAGTGTTGCATTTTTGAGTGCTCTTTATGTCAGCACTTGGCTGTGCTATCCACTCTACACTTGTTTCTGCACTATGTATGTATGTATTTTTATGCGGCAGGCAGCCTTCCTGTCCGAGACAAATTTCCCAATAGGGACAGGAATCTTGAAAGGTGTGGTTAGGTTTAGGCACAAAAGTCACAGTTATGGCTACCAAAGATGATGTTATGGCTTAAAATACCCACATCCGGTGGCATAAAAGCTGCTGGGAAATGATGTGATGTGTTGGTCAAAAACACTTGGGTTCAGTGCCACAAACAGCGGGGGAAACGCAGTGAAGGGTTGCCGAAAAACAATCAGTGTTGTTGGTCTTTAACGGTAGGCTGCAGCTCAGCAGGCATCTCACCTAGGTGACATGCCATCCACCTCCACCTCTGGATGCCAAGAGTCAGCACATACATTACGTCATGTTAGAAATTTTTTATGAAACAAACACACAAATCTAACATATGGTTTGCAGAAATGTATAATTTCCTCTGGCGACTGGGCTGGGTCCTAAACTTGGGAACATTTGCTAATAGGGCAAGATGAAACATCATCATTATGCAAAAAAAAAAACAACAACAACAAACTGAATAAAAGAATTCTGTAACTTTATAGGTTTAATCATTTTCTAACTTGAAAACGAAGCTTGTTTGTGTTGAGAGGATAAATAGGGAGGGATCATGCCCGAATCAAAATGTAGTTGATGTGTGAACATGCATGTGAACGGACTGATCTGAACTTCATGTTTCAATGTGCATACTGATACAGAGTGGAGAACAAACAGCTCCCTCTGCTGGCTCATCTGCAGTCACACGATCAGTATAAAAATGGTCCATGGTGCATTTTTAAGGGACCACTTCTCTCAAACAGTAAATAGATAACTGTTAAATTGACTAATTTCATAATAATCAAGCATAAGTGAACATAATAATAGACTTTTTCATTTAGATAAATTCCATTTTTATTCTCTACATACAGCATTGATAGTGATTTAACCTATACTTTATTATATAGTGTTTCCATAAAACATATATTTACAGTTCTACAACAGCAGCGACCAGATGCATTCAACTCTAAACCTCTGCAATTCATCAGGTGTATAAAGCATTGAGGCCACCATAGTTGAAGGGGCAAAGAAAATGAGCCCTGTTTGATAAGTAGTCATGAAAAAAGTGGAGTGCAAAAACACAAGAAATGGCCAAAGATGCCATTCAAAGCAAATGATGCTTCTATTTAAAATGCTCAAATTGTATCAAGAGCTTACTAAGAGTGAATACAATATAAAAGCACTTGCAAAGCTTCTGGTTTTTGGCAACTTCAATTCCTGCTGGTCCGTCTGTGATGTAGCTGCCTGAGGATCAGAGCAGGATGGAGACATTGGCTGCTGTTAAACTCTCAGTCACATTGTGGTGGAGTGGCTCCTGACTGTGACTGTAGAAAGGCAGGTAATGAGCCACGTCTGCCAGGGTCTGCAGGACGTCATAGGTTACTGCAAACAGGAAGTAGGTGGGGAGCAGCCAACTGAGGCTGAAGACACAGTCACCTACTGGCAGAGGGACAGCAAGGTGTCTGAAAGGACAAGAGAGAGAGAGAGAGAGAGAGAGAGAGAGAGAGAGAGAGAGAGAGAGAGAGAGAGAGAGAGAGAGAGAGAGAGNGAGAGAGAGAGAGAGAGAGAGAGAGAGAGAGAGAGAGAGAGAGAGAGAGAGAGAGAGAGAGAGAGAGAGAGAGAGAGAGAGAGAGAGAGCACCTGACTGCCGTTCATCCTTGGTAAAAGCTCACTGACCGAGCTGTGCAGCCAAACATTCAGACTCACACAGTGTCGTTTTAAATTCTAGTGAAGCTCCCAATGTTCCCAAACATGCCAAATATCTCAAGCTGAGTTTGGGGACATTTTGTATAAAATGATCCAAAAAACGTCTAAAATATTTCTATTTGATGGAATGGTGCAGAGGAGGACAACTGCATGTTAGGGAGTTCAGTCACAATGCTTTATCTGACAGGTTCATCATTTCCTAACACGTTTCCTGAAAACAACTTTGTAATCTGATACTGACACTCAAATATATTTAAAAAATTGTCCTCTAATAAAAAGGTTGCTTTCATGCAAACTGCTTATCATGAAGGGTTTTCACATCAAAGCTGGTATGAACAGAGAAACTCAATAGGCTCAATATAACGGCAGCCGTAATGAACATATAAGCACATACACCGATCAGCCAAAATATTAACACCACTGACAGGTGAAGTGAACAATATTGACCATTTTGTTACAATGCAATGTTCTGCTGGGAAACCTTGGATCCTGGCATTTATGTGGATGCCACCAGACAGGCTCCACCCACCCAAACACTGTTGCAGACCAAGTATCCCTTCTCATGGCAACTGCACTCCATGATGGCAGTGCCCCCCAGCAGGACAATGTGTTATGCTACACCGCAAGACCTGCTCAGAAATGGCTGGAGGAACATGACAAACAGCTCAAGGCATCAACCTGGCCTCCACATGCCCCAGATCCTTATCTGATCCAGCATTTGTGGGACTTACCGGTACTGTAGACTAGGGGTGGGCGATATGGCCCTAAGAAAATATCACAATGTTTCAGGGTATTTTTGCGATAACAATATTAGTAGAAATATATAGATTTTATTATCAATCTAAGAAAATACAATTGCGACAAAAGAAGTGATATAGTTTTACATGTCAGCCTAACAGTTTGCTTTCAAATATTCAGTAAAAACTAAAATAAACGATCTCTCATTTCTTCAGTTGTAAACTACAACAGTAACTCAGAGTGAGAGTCAGATTCTGTATACAACATTAATAGATCAACAAAATAAAATCTACCACAAATTACACATTTAAACAGCTCCCAAATACATATAAGTGTACCCTGCGATCTATATATATATAAATCAGCAGGTGATTTCCTTCTTTTAGCAAAATCCTTAGTGATTGAGTTGGGGGGGGGTTCCACCAGGAACTTTATGCTCATTTCTCCTCTAACCATCACACTGTAACCTGTGACAGGCTGTTATGCTACCAGAACTACTGCACATTCACATATATGTGTTCATATATTCATATATGTTTTCTGTCGAGCTGCGAGCGTCACATAGGTTTACACTGTCAAACTTTGATCACTTGACAACACTGATTCCTGTGTGCACACAGGGAGAGAGGAGAGGGAGATGCTGTGCTGCTGTTCGCGGAGCCGCTGAATGAGTTAACTCTGCAGGGAGGGTAACTCACGGTTACTCGCTAACATAGTCTAATAGAAGTCCAGGGCTGTTCATAAAACATTCAGGATGCCACAGTTTACTTCACACTACTGAAGCTGTTCTTCTTTTTGGAATAACTGCGGAGTCTGTAATGATTTTGCTTTCAGCCATGCTTGTTGTTGCCATGGGTATGATGCCAATACATCAACAATCCGAAATATTGCGAGTATCACGATATGAATTTTTCATATCATATTATAAATATACCACTATTATTGTGAACGATATGATATGGCACACCCCGACTCTAGAGGAACCCCTGGTCGATGTAGGGGGCCCTCTTGAATCAGACTTGGCTCTGACCTGTCGTGGCATGTCCACAGGCCCTCTGGGGGAGTGTCCTGTGCTGTCTGGCACCAGGGCGTTGGTGGTGGATGCTTTGAGTCTTGTGGATCATGGAGTACCAGCACTTCCAACAGAAGCTGCTGAATGCAATTGGTTTCAGGGAAACTTGGAGGCTGCCTTGGGCTATTTGCTACATTAGTCTGGCCATTTCGGAGCTGTTTTAGCTGGTCTGCTACAATGTTCGGGTGGGTGGAGCGCGTCAAGTGGCATCCACATGAATGCTAGGACCAAAGGTTTCTCAGAAGAACATTGAATTGAAATGAAACAGGCTGTTATCACAAATCCTTGGTATGTTTTCCTACAAAAAGCAATGCACTCAAGTTTGCACTTATCCCACGTATTTTGAAAGGCTGTGTTTATGTGACCAATGCTCTGGCAGCAGTAACCAAAGAAGCAGTCCGGACCACTTGTTAGGAGGCAGGTTGGGGTGGTCGATGGGTCACAAAAAAGCAGACTTTAACCTGGAGTTGCGTGTTTGGATCTGTGTGAACTTTGAGTCATTTTCAGGTACGTCCTCACCATGTTTCTTTTACTAGAACTGACCTCCGCAACGTTACCTTAATTATGTAACTTTACATTAAGGACGTAACGTCATTTGTAGGGCGCAAATTCCTAGGATATCATATGAACCGTTCTATGAGAATACGTTTAATGAAATGATCAGCGTTACTCACTTTACCTGTCAGTGGTTTTAATGTTTTGGCTGATCAGTGTAGATATAAGCTGTGTGGTTTATGTGTATTCTGTGGTTTTGGTTGATCTGAAGATACTGTAGGCAACCATGTATTCCATCTGCACCTGCACCCTGGCAGCAGTTATTCAGAGGAGTAACAGTAGCAGAAATAGTACCAACAAGAAGGTGCACTCGGCCTTCTATGATATGTGAATCTGCAAGCACAACCACATCTATGTTGGGATATTTCCATAATATCTCTGCTGGAGTTTATTATAGACGAGTCACATTTGGATGTGAGTAAGAGTGTAATAGTTGCGTGTATTAGTATGTGTATATTTACATTTTCATGGCCACACCTTAGTTTAAGAAAAACGCTTTGTTACAATTCTGGCAGTGTTACAATTGCACCAGTTCTCCCAGTAAACCACTGACCCCAAGTGCTCCATAAACACTGCTGACTGGATAAAGTGTGAGCAACTACAACCAGCTATGTTTCATCACTATTGAACTTTACTACCATCTAGAGGATTTCAAGATGTATGGCATTTATTCTTCCAAGGCCACATACTCTGTCTCCACATGTTAAAAAAAGTAAAAAATATAAAATATCCGCCCCATGATGAGGACCCGCTGCAAAGTTTAATGTGTTCTATCTTGGCCCATGTTACAGCCTTCCACAAAATTTCCTTAAAATCAAGTGAGTAGTTTTTCTGTTGCTGACAAACAAACAAACAAACTGAATAAATAACTTTCTTGGTGGAGATAAAAACAGTAATAAAGATAACAAAAATATAGGTTTTGTTCAAAAAACATATATTTAAACTTTCATAATATCTGCTCACTGGCTTCACCCTCAGTCAGAAATCATTTATCAAGCACTCTCATATCTCTCACATGACAAATGTATTTGTAAACAGCAAAGAGACTCACTGGAATCTATCTTCTCTGGACTCTCTCAACATGATGAAGACAAACAGTCCCACTTCAGTGTTGAGAGAGAACGAAACAACTTTGTCCAACAAGACAACAAAACCCTGAAGAGAGAGAAGGCAAACACTGGTGATTGGCAGAATTCTGAGCAAGTACTTCATTATCATTAATCTCCATCTCCAATCATCACTATTAGTGTGTGTGTGTGTGTGTGTTTGTATCATTACCCTGGGATCACACACTGACACGATAAAGATGACAACGAATGCGAGCAGTGACATGAATCCTTTCGCCATGCTGGAAGAAAGACAGAGAAGAAGAAGAAGCATGGAATCAACTTAATTAGTCAGAGTTATCGTCTGAGAAGTGTTTGAGATGAATCATACGTCTCACAAAACAAGTCTCTTCATCTTCATTTCTGTGAAGGGAGACAGGAAATAAACTGTAGGTGGAATAATAATGAACATGTGGAAATTGCTGTAGAGACAGGGAGAGCAACGGCTAATCTCTTATTTTACTGAGGCTGTTGTCATCACAGGGGATACACCCTTCAGAGGCTACTGCCCCAGAGCTCTTACTAAAGTTCAACTTCAAAACATGCGTCTCCGAGCGACATATGGTTTTACACTATTCCAACATCTGGTTGAAATGTATCTCAAATCACCTCCTGAGCATGAACATGGCAGCAAAAGCACATGTGTAACTAATAACATTAATAATGACTGTACTCCATTTAGATGGGTCAGTGCTGGTGCCCTGCTCCTGTGCTGCTGGCTCTCTGACATGACTCACTACACTTAAACTGAAGGCAGCCATCATCAGTGTTATTACTTACACCAGTGCTTTTACGGCTTTGAAAACTCCATGTTGTAATGACTGAAATTATAATATTTTTTTTCCATTTTATTGTTAAGCAGTGTCTGTTTGCAGCTGGGTGACAATAGTCACGCTGCAGTTGTTTGGCTATTTAAACCAATCCCTACAACACGTTATGATGGATCCCACTGTGTGCTGTGATTGGTTAGTATTCACCACGTCAATGCATCAGGGCTGGAGGCGGTTAGGATTAGGGCGAAGAGGTCATGGTTAGGGATAATACTAGCCAATCACTAATATTCTCTGATGATAAGGTGGTGAATTTACCAAAAACTAGAATTACTGCTTCGTGGTTGTATGCCTCTGTGAAGCAGTCAAGTTGCACTTACAGTTTACATCCATTTCTGTCTAGACTCATATGTAACCATGACAGAAGACAACGCTTCAAATATGGATGTTAATGCAAAGAAGTTATACATTTTAAAACGTGGATGCTTCACACACGTCTTCCCCCTGACAACACAGCAGATCTATACAATCAGCACAGTTTCAAGCTGGACTCCCAAGAGCAGTGTCACCTGTTCAGCATCTGACCAAATGTCTCCCCTTCTGTTCCTGAGATATGATGTTGAGTAATGGCCAGAAAAGTGTTTTTGCAGAACATTATGATGTCACAGTGAAGCTGACCTTTGACCTTTTGGACACAAAATGTCAGCACTTAATGATTTTATCCTATTAGACACCTCTGTGAATTTTGTCGTAATTAGCATATGTATTCTTCACTTATAGCCAAAAACATGTTTTGTGAGGTCACAGTGACCTTGACCTTTGACAATCAAATTTGATCAGTTCATCGTTGAGTCTAAGTGGACGTTTGTGACAATTTTGAAGAAATTCCCTGGAGGCATTCATCAGATATCACGTTTACGAGAATGGGACAGACAGACATGCAGACACATGTGCAGGTGTATGAACATACGTACATACAGACAACCTGAAAACATAGTATCTCCGGTCATGGCTATCTCTGGCACGGATGCATAAAAACTCACAAATGTAAAGCCAGTAGGTCAGGTGACATAGTATAAAAAGCGACAGTCTACAGAAGGAGAGAGAGAGCTGGTGGATGAATGGGTTTGAGTCCCCTGTGAGTCAGTGAGCACGGTTACATGCGCACAATAATCAGATAACTGGAAATAATCAGGTAATGGTAATAATCCGATTTGACGAGTTTACATGCACTTCAATAATCTAAAAATCAGAAAAACCTAGTTTACATGATTCAGTCCTTCAGTTGGATTTCTCCTCAAGTACATGACATAAAACTCAAACTTCCTGTTACAGTAGGTACTCATATCCTTGAAAAACCTCAAAAAGTACGCAAGTCATATATTTGCAAAATAAAGCACTCATCATGCTGACAGCTTATATTCTTACAGTACTGTTTGTTTTTATCATTAACAAATACATGTGAGAGCATTCTAATGTGTAGTTTATCAATGTGGAGCCAATTTTACATACTTTGGGTAGATTCAGAGTAAAAGTACTGCAAAGTGCAATATACAAGTGTATTGTATATAAACTTGTCACACAAAGTGCATAACATATAAGTAAGATAAAATAAAAGTGACAATGTAAACACTGAGAATATAAAAATATATTATTTTATGTAAAATCTTTATCTGAAAGGAAACAAAAGCTGTCAGATTAACGTAGTGGAGTAGAAAGTACAATATTTCCCTCTAAAATGTAGTGGAGTGGGAGTATAAAATAGCAAAACCCAAAAGAAACCAGATTAAAGGGTATACATGCACCGAATAATCTGACTATTGGGGAAAAAGCTAGGTGTGTTTATCTGATTTCTCATAATCAGATAATGGCTTTTATCTGATAAAGCCTATCGGATTATGCTGTTTACATGACCACTTGAATAATCAGGTAACTCCAGAAATCAGATAATGATCAGTTTATCAGTGTGCATGTAAACGCACTCAATGTTGGCAGAATGCACACTGTGTACTTTAACTTTAGCAGAATAGCTGAATAGACCTGTTCATGTTAATGTCATATTTTGATGTTGCTAGAAGACCCAGGAATTTATACACCCAGGTGTAAAAAGCCATATTGGCTATATGTGGACCTGGCACACCAACCTTACACCTAGACCATCAGATTTTGAAAAGGTGTGTGTGTCTCCATACTTCCTGACAGTTTCTGACATTAACCATTTTATCAGTCCAGATTTGTTTCTCTGTTGCAGAGGTGAGAGCACAAACTGCTGTGACATGTCCGTGCTCACCTTCTCGCTGAGCAGATGTGCTCTTTGTTTGGCAGGTTTCGCTCCCAAGCTTTAGACAGCCACTCCAGCCTGATGCTCCACAACGAGCTCACCAAACCATCAACTGGAATAAGCACAACCAGTCAGTCTATACAAAACACTTTATACCCAATGATTAAAGGAACACATCTACATTTAGGGAAAAACACTTCTTTGCTTTCTTGGTGAGAGTTGAGGAGTTAGAAGATCAATGCCATTATAATATCTTTCCAATCAATATGAAGTTACAGCCAACCTTAGCTTAAAGGTGCCCTGTGGAGTTTTTCTTGTCAACAAACAAGAGTCATGTTTACATTCAGTTTCACCAAAGCCCACTGTGTGTAAATGTGTTGAATGCATTTCCTTCCTCACAAAACATTTGCAACTTGAGTTTTTACGTATTTTTAATTCTGTATTGTTTACAAGTTTACAGTCTTCTTCTTCTTCCCTGCCTTATTGGCACATTGCCTTACCTTACCTAAGCATGATACTGCCACCTGTAGATCAGTGAAGAAGTATGACACCATGGGCAGGACTGTGTATCGTCACCCAAACTCATGCACGAGATAAACAAAACAGGAACCCACTCATGAAAAAAACAGCTCCATAACACTTCTAGAGGTTAAGGAGGAAAATATTGTATTACATTTACCTGACAGTGACATGTTACTGGTTACGATGCAGATTCAGACTCTAATCACAAAATATAACAATCACAATATGATGCATTATTTTTCATTAAACCATCCAGTATTATATTAGTGTTGAAAGCTCCACCGTAAAACAGTAAATTTAAGTACAAGCCTTCACCACTTATTATTCTCCTCTCTCCCTCTGCTTCATGCATCCTTGAACACATGCATTACATTTTTTAATGCCTGTATGGTGTAGAAAGAAATTAGAAACACTTGACATCACATATAGCAAATAATTTATACAAATGGTGTGAGCGCCACAGAATAATTCAAGTGCTGAAAAAGCTTTCAAAATCCCAATTTGTTTTGTTCTAAATCAGAAGATTATTACAACCTAATTCATCAGCAACAGTTTGTCTGTCACTTGATTTGCTAAGAGTTAAGTTATTGAATATTTGAATATTCTACAAAGTAAAATTGAATTTATTTAATATTTTCAAGTTTCAAGTTCTCCCAAATTATACAAAAGCATATTTTTCCAAAACGAAGTGATGTAGTATAACCAACAGGAGACTTGTAATGTGTGAGGTGATTTTAGGGAGACTACACTGTATAAGAATGAAGTTGTTTTTCACGGTAAACAAATCACCAAGGTATGTAAAAGATGTTTTTTTCAAACAAAATATTTTGGTACAACCAAGATGAGACCATTGATGTGTGAAGTGATATGGGGGACACAACACTTTGTAAGTGTGAGGTTATGAAATATTCTTTTAGCGTCTTTTTTTGGGGGTTGCACTCTGTAGACGGCCCCTATGCTTTCGTCTCACAGCAGGCTGCACACAAAGAGCAACGTTATTTGTCCGGCTTGGAGGGCGGCTTGTTTTGATTAAAATCCAACACATTCATACAACAACCTTGACTATTGACGTTTGGTCACGGACTTCCCACATCAATGTTTTATGTGCAAGGTACCCTGGGAGCGTTGATTATCATTCTAGGATGCCGTGTCAAATTTTGCCTGTTACATGCATTGTCTGTTTTCAAAATACACTTCTGTTTTTACAGGAAATGTACAGTTTGCATAGTCTCTTTCAAAATAAACACACTATATTGGTAAAATACTGCAAATTTATGTTTTTTTCCTTCAACAACACAGTTAAACAATAATGGTGACTAGCTGCGTATCATGCCTACATGAAAGGACAGCTTTGTGTCTGATGCCAGAAGTCACTGACCAAGCACCAGTCTTTGATGACTTGGAAGTGAGACCAGGCTGTAAAATCAGATTGTAGCTTGTTGTTTTCGTTGGAAAGAAGCGTTTGTGTTTTAACAATATTTTGCTGATGAGTTGCCAATCTGGGAAGTTCGATTCCATGAATATGTTTCCAACTTTACTGAACTGCTTTTAGGCAGGCAGCCAGCTCCCCCTCTTCCCTGTACTGTACTGGCACTGAATCTTTTAGTGGTACAGAGGACCAGACCGTACCAACCTCCTGTCACCCCTGGTTATAAGTTAATATGGCAAAAAAATACACCAAAGATCGCCTCTACTCGTGGTCACAAATGCAGTTAAATATAAATAACGAGATATGCTCTGCTCACAGTCTGCTCTCCACAGAGCCCTGAAGCCCCGCCCCCGCACAGAGACAGATTGCTATTTGCTTGTTTATTAATATTAAAGTGGATATAATAATATCCAAAGTGGATTGGATGAAATGTTCCAAGATATGCAAAGGACACACAGAGAATTCTTGCTTTACAGCTAGATATTACAATGTCGGATGTTCATATTAAACATGCCCAAAGTTTCAAGTAATAAGGTAAATATATGTAAAAGTAATCCCTGTGAACAAAAACCTCATATTTCAGACCATTCTGATTACTTTGCTTCAAACATTTTTTTCTATGTTAGACACAAGCTGACAGCAGCCTGTGACAGAATTCTTTATACGATCGTCTGTAGTTAACTACTGCAAGTGTTTGCATTACATACACTGCTATATGTAGCTATATGCTAACGTCAGGGAAGCATGTTAACTTGTTAATTTCTTCCCAATTACAGATCATATTCGTTATGAAACATGTCCAGTTTTATTTCAAGTTTTAATTGGTGATTTCTCACAGTAGAAAGGGCCTCTTTTCTCTGTTACAGTCACTCTCTGGAGCCTATCCCAGCTGACACTGGGCGAGAGGCAGGGTTCACCCTAGACAGGTCACCAGACTATCGCAGGGCTGACACATAGAGACAGACAACCATTCACACTCACATTCACACCTACGGACAATTTAGAGTCACCAATTGCCCTATCCCCAACCTGCATGTCTTTGGACTGTGGGAGGAAGCTGGAGTGCCCGCTGACACGGGGTGAACATGCAAACTCCTGCTCCCTCCTGCGATTGAACCAGGAACCCTCTTGCTGTGAGGCAACAATGCATGTAAGCATGTTCTAGTAAAAACCCAAAATACAAGTATGACCCTGAAAATGAACACAATAGGTAATTTAAAAACTAAAGGTAGGGGAAAACAGCGAGCTTGGCTCTCTGTCCAAAAAAAATACACCTACCAGCACCTCTAAAGGTCACTAATCAGCAACTTACATATTTTGTTTAATGTGCACAAATGTGCAAAAATGACAAGTTGTGGTTCTATGGGAACTTCGTGCAGGAATTTTGTTTGACCAAATATCTGCCAGACACCCAGAGAGGGAAGTCACTGTTAGCTGTTTCCCATTGCCTCCAGTCTTTATGCTAAGCTAAGCTAATCATCTCCTGGCTGTAGCTTCATAGTTATTCCACAGACATGAAACTGATATTCCATCTTCTCATCTAACTCTCTGCAAGAGAATCAAAAAGTGTATATTTCACTATGTCGACCTATTCATCTGAACTTTATAATTCTATGATTAAGAAAAAAAATTAAGAATTGCAACTTTGTTTTTACACTACTACCTCCATATACCACCAGTATTGCCATGACCACTGTTACTACCATTAGACCTCTTTCTATGACAGTACCAATAACAGTAATATGAGCTATTTTCCTCTTAATTTTAACTGTCTCTGTGACAGCAACACTGACATTAATAGTAAGAGAGTAAATGACAAAACAACATTCAAGCAGGAGGAAACTTACTGGTGTGTTTCATAGCAGATCCCATTACCAGGAAGGACACAGTGACGCTGATGGCTATAAACACCTGGATCAGCTCAGCCACCCAGGAGTACGCCCTGTAACGTTCATTAATAATCTACATGGGTCGGTGGGGAGGGTGATGGATGTTGGTGGAAGTTGAAAATGAGGACACAACAAGGAAGAAGAAGGGAGGCATGTTTTTGTACTTTAGAGGATCATCAAGCTAGTTTTGAAATAAACTGCACACTAAGAAAGGTCTTTTAGGACCCAAGCACCAAACAGTGCAAGGACCCTAATGCAAGGAATTATCATCATCATCATCATTATTATTATTATTATTAATAATAATATTTATGCAAATGAATCACACCTTTGAGGAACAAAAGGTGCTCAAAAACTCATCAAACTTTGCACACACATAAAATCAGGTGAAAAAAAATGTATATTTTACGGGTCTCATGTTCAGGTGTGTACGCTGTAAAACTGGGAGGCACATGTAACATTCCAAGTCATACAAAAAATACTCTTTGAGCCATACCGTAAACCCAACAGTAAATCAGCCATTTTGTATTTACTGTGCAAGTTTTGTCCTTTTTTTGTTATTTATAGGGATCATACTTTAAAAAATTCCTCCTACAAATTTTACCCGATTGACTAAAAATTTGTCTGTGCCATCTATAACCCTTCGAGATTAAAAGAATTTAAAAGGTTGAGTTTTCATTGAATGGTGAGACTGTGGCAAGGTGCCACATTCTCACCATTCAGTTCAGTTCATTCAAAGGTGCCAAATTTCCATGTTTTACCACAAAGCAGGAAGTGGTTTGTAACTCCACTGCACATGGTCCAATGTGCCCCAAACTCAGTGTTTCCTGGCCTGAACACATCGCAGATATGCTAATATTTAGTTATAGTTGTAGCACCACCTAGTGGCAAAAAGGTGGTGCTACTTTGATGCACTGCTCAAAGCAAGCTGATCAGATCCCCCAAATTTGTGTTGAAAAGCGCCAAGACCTTGATGATGCTTTACTGTAAAAATTGTGAGTTTTTGTTGAATGGCATTGCTTTGATTAGACTCCAGACCTGAAGACATTAACATGCCAACTAGGTGTCATTGCACTGCCTGCTCAATTTCAATAAATCAATTTTATTCATAAAGCCCAATATCACAAATCACAATTTGCCTCAGAGGGCGTTACAGCATACGACATCCCTCTGTCCTTTGGACCCTCACAGCGTAGAAAGATGTTATTTACAGTGGCCGTGCTACACACATGAAATACAATCTCACTCCTTCACGCAGTATCCAACATTAGTGGTAATGAACAGTCACAGGAACTGGCGTCCACCCAGCGCCCCTGACATGGGCAAAGCAGTGAAGACCCGTCATCACTGCCTGCAGTTTTAATTTTTATGTGTTATAGGTAAAACATTTAAATCGCTACATAAAGTGTGTTGCTGCTGTGATAATGCATTTTAAAACACGGATGTGTTAAAACAACACTATATGTCTTTTTTCGCTGAAGGACCTGCTGTCATCCCTCTCTGATCTTTCCGTCTTCCATTATGCAGGTTATTGTTCTGACCATAGAGCTTCCTTGTCTTTCACTGATTACCTCTGTCTCTGAAGTTGTGCTCATCAGTGAAATCACTTTGTTTGAAATGAACGCTTGCAGACTCATGGCTCTCCATTTGGATGAAGCACTATCTCATGACAGACACAATTAACTTGGATCCCATTACTAATAGTAATAGAGAGTCAGAGGGTGGATTTGTCGTGCATCTGTGTCAACCCAGGCTCCTCTCTGTGAGTTAGGCTGATAAGATTGTTATAACAATTCTACCTGGTGCAGCTTTATTCCCTGAGTTATATTTCCTTTAAAGAGGCTGGCCAGGCCAGCTCCACTGTGCCATCTCTGACTACCAATTAGTTTGTGAGCCAGGCCCAGCCAGCCACTACAGCTAATTGCTGCATGTTTCCATTAGCAGTTGTTAGCTGGGTAGATGCACTGTTTCCTGTGTAATTGGATCCACACACCGTCTGACCACATGTTGCTGCTGTTCATTTCACCACAAACCATTATCCAGTCCTGCATGTGGCTCTGAGAGCACTTATAAGCCTTTAACACAGAGACAGAATATACAGTAATATGGCTTATTTAAAATCACCACTATGCAACAAAGACAGACAGTACAAGGAGAAGTCAACAAAGAACTCCCTGGATTATGACTGCACTACCAATAGGTACTGGTGTCTAATGGCCTAATTTTATGATGCTGTTACATGTTTTAAGAGAATGAGATGGACCAGGTCTCAGTGACCTTGATGTTAAACACATGCCCACCAAAATCTAATCAGTTCATTGTTGAGTCCAAGTGGACGTTTGTGCCAAATTTAAGGAAATTCCCTCAAGGTGTTTTTGAGATATCACATTCATGAGGATGAGACTGATGCAAGGTTACAGTGACCTTTGACCTTTGGCCACCAAAATCTTATCAATTATTCACTGAGTCCAAGTAAATGTTTGTGCCAAATTCAAAGGAATTTCCTCAGGATGTTCTTAAGATATCGCATTCACAAGAATGGGTAGGAGGGATGGAGGGATGGAGGGACGGAGGGACGTTTTGACAGACCGACAACCCAAAAACACAGCTATAGCTGGAAGTGGCTAAAACATACCATTCATGTAATTCAATCAAATAAAGCTGAGATGAATATCAACATAAGTACACATAATTTATTAACAGTAATTACATATATGTTTTATTGAAGTAAATTAAATAAACTCCATGAGCTTAGACTAGTCATCTCAGTTTTATTTGATTTACAGTACTTTTTGGTTCATGTAATAATTGCTTTAGGTAGTCCAATTGCTTTGGATGGAAATTTTATGTGGAATTGAAATGAGTTACTCTGACAAGAGACCACATAATTTCTTTGAGTGTAGAAACTGTAGCTGTTTAATGCTAACAGCATAACTGGCCTTTAATCTCTGTTTAAATGACAAGGTGCTCAAGTTTTATTAGCCAGCACAATAGTAGATACTCACTTGGTTTAAAGATACTCGTGTGAGATTATCATGGCAACCTCATACTGATTTAACACCAAATACTGTGGGTGTTGTACACCTGCAGGTAAAATATCATGACTTTGGATACATTGTGGTGTTTTGTTTTCTATTTATTTCAGATGTTTTTCAGTTTGTTCCATTACTGTAGACTTGATTATGACGGTAACAAAGTGTGCCCACAGTAACTGCCTGAGACATTAAAGGTCATTAAAGAGCCTCCTCATTAGCACTCTGCTACATTTCTGACTTTTCAATACAGCTATTCTTAAAATGCTTAAGGTGTTTTAAGCAATCCACAGTGACCCTGACTTGAAGAATAGTTTTCAAGTAGGCTCCATGAAAGGTTCAGGAAGAAAACTGACAGAAACATTCAATTTTTAGCACCCACTGCAGCTCTGTATGGCCACAGTGAAACTAGGGGGCCTTGATAACTCAGTAATACTTCACAGCATATATATAGCCAGAGATTTGAATGTCTTCCTGTCTTTCTGTTAAGCCTGCAAGAGGAAGAGAAAAAACAACCCGTGAGTATCTCGCTCATAGACTATACATTAAGGTGGAAAACGCATCTCCACTGTACAAAAATGAAGCCAAATATCCCGAATATGGCCGCTGCCATCTTGCACTGTGATGTCATTTGGAATTATTAGAATCATTAGCATAGGAATGGCCCGCCTTCCTCTGCCTCAATTTGCCTCTGATTGGCTTATCCTGACATTCTTACCATTACCCTAACCAATCCCACTCATCTTGTCTAAAACTAACCAATACAACCAATGAATGCAATGTGTAGTAGCCAATCATAGGGAGAGTAGGGTGGGTCATTCCTTTACTATCCCAGGAGATTCAAATTTGCCCACAGTAGCAATCTCTGCAATATCGAGTTCCCATCCATACACCTGACCAACCAATCATGAGCAGTGCTATTGATTGCGAGCACATTAATTGGCACACACAGCTGTCAATCATGAGGTCACACCGACTTTTTTTGCAGCATCAAATAACTAATTAAAACCAACCTTATCAGAAAAATGAACCCTTGAACATACATCAGTATGATAAGAACTACCTAACATGACAGAAACCATGTTTGGGAAAAATTTAGTTGATGTATACTTAGATTTTTTTGTTTGGGCCATGTGCCATCTGTATGGAAGCCCATTTCCGCCACTTGGTGGAAAAAAATAAGATCTATTAACTCAAAATAATGAGATACTAAGTCAAAATAATGACTTACTAAGTCACAATAATGAGATACTAAGTCAGAATAATGACTTACTAAGTTAAAATAATGACTTACTAAGTTAAAATAATGAGATACTAAGTCAAAATAATGACTTACTAAGTCAAAATAATGAGATACTAAGGCAAAATTACGACTTACTAAGTCAAAATAATGAGATACTAAGTCAAAACTATGAGATACTAAGTCAGAATAATGACTTACTAAGTTAAAATGAGATACTAAGTCAGAATAATGACTTACTAAGTTAAAATGAGATACTAAGTCAAAATAATGAGATACTAAGGCAAAATAATGAGATACTAAGTCAAAATAATGAGATAGTAAGTCAAAATAATGACTTACTAAGTCAAAATAATGAGATACTAAGTCAAAATAATGACTTACTAAGTCAAACTAATGACTTACTAAGTAAAAATAATGAGATACTAAGTCAAACTAATGACTTACTAAGTAAAAATAATGAGATACTAAGTCAAAAATAATGAGATACTAAGTCAAAATAATGATAGTAAGTCAAAATAATGAGATACGTCAAAATTATGACTTACTAAGTCAAAATAATGAGATACTAAGTCAAAATAATGACTTGCTAAGTCAAAATAATGAGATACTAAGTCAAAATAATGAGATACCAAGTCCAATAATGAGGTGAATGAGTACAGTTTCAGCCGTTGACAATCCATACTCTTCATCTCTCGGTCACGATGGATAACATCATTGATGGATACTAACTCAAAACACTGAGGTAATACCTCATTATTTTGACTTAGCAAGTCATTATTTTGACTTAGTATCTCATTATTTTGACTTAGCAAGTCATTATTTTGACATAGTATCTCATTATTTTGACTTACTATCTCATTATTTTGACTTATTAGATCTTATTTTTTTCCATCAAGGAAATGGGCTTCCATACATCTGCTGACATGAAGGGGGCGGCGTTTATGACCTGAACTGCAGCCAGCCACCAGGGGGCGATCAAGATGTTTTGGCTTCACTTCTGGGGAGCTGTCATGTCGTCCATCTTTATTATACAGTCTATGGTGTCAATTTGCATCTCAGACACAGCATGGATTGATATTTTATTTAAAATAGAAAATGAACTGTTCTGTTAGGCTCCAGAAAGACTTTGAATACACCTAACAAAATACTTAATCATGGCTGAGCTGAAGACTTTAAGTAGCCTACTCCATCAAACATTCAAAAGTGAGATATGAGGCTGAATCTAACCCCTGAAGTCTTTAATGCCATAGAAGCATCTTGATGCCATTTTCAGTGACCTTCGTCATGAGCAATCACTATCACTAAATGCAGCAGAAGGTTACAGTAATAACTCATGCATACATTTGTTGAATAGGCACAGACTGTGAGGCGATGGGCCCCTGGGCACAGACGTGTAAAAACTGCTGTACTGCTGAGAGAGGGAGCCAGGCTGAATAAACGTCTAACATCTAACTTCACTCCAGTGAAGCACCCATGGAACATGGAACAACAACTGACGCCTCCTCTGTCAGTGGAATAAAATCAAACACTCCAGATGAAGTGAATAATTACAAGTGTTCTCTTTTTCAGCTGACCTTTAATGTCCCCCTCCAGATGGATTTTAAAGTAATACTAATTTTACTAATACTAAATTTCAATTTTGTTTGACATAGTTTTCCAACATAATAGTTAAACAACTATGATCATCTCATTCTCCCTTCCCACTTCCTGCTCCCCAGTGCTGCTCATGCTAGCTCGATATGTAAAAGAGCAGTGTGCATCAAGATGGTTAGCATAAGGGTAAGAGAAAACATCGAGAGATTCAGCCACACGTTTGAGCCTCTGTCAGACTCAGATGAGGAGTCTGATGCGCACCAAAGTCAGCTCAGAGTGGTAAGTGTAGTTAGCATCTTTCATTTGTTTGTTGTTCACTATGCTAATGCTAACTTGTCTGCTCTGTGCTGCAGGTTTGAGGATTCTTTGCCGGTGTTGCGTCTTTTCTCTTGTCGATATACACACTTTATTAGGTACACCTGTTCAACTTGCTAATTAATGCAAGTATAACGCATGTAGACATGGTCAAGGTGACCTGCTGAAGTTCAAACCGAGCATCAGAATGGGGAAGAAAGGTGATTTAAGTGACTTTGAATGTGACGAGCTGGTCTGAGTATTTCAGAAACTGCTGATCTATTGAGATTTTCACACACAACCATCTGTAGGGTTTACAGAGGATGGTCGGAAAAAGAGAAAATATCCAGTGAGCAGCAGTTCTCTGGGTGAAAATGCCTTGTTGATACCAGAGGTCAGAGGATAATGGCCAGACTGATTCAAGATGATAGAAAGGCAACAGTAACTCAAATAACCACTCGTTACAACCTCAGGTATGCAGAAGACCATCTCTGAACGAACAACACGTCGAACCTTGAAGCAGATGGGCTACAGCAGCAGAAGACCACACTGGGTGCCACTCCTGTCAGCTAACAACAGGAAACTGAGGCTACAATTCACACAGGCTCACCAAAACTGGACAACAGAAGATTATCAAAACGTTGCCTGGTCTGATGAGTCTGGATTTGTGCTGTGATGTTCAGATGGTAAGGGTCAGAATTCGGCGTTAGCAATATGAAAGCATGAATTCGTCCTGCCTTATATCAACAGTTGAGGCTGCTGGTGGTGGCATAATGGTGTGGGGGATATTTTCTTGGCACACTTTGAGACCCTTGGTACCAGCTGAGCATTGTTTAAATGCTGAGTTTTGTTGCTGACTGTGCTTACAGAATCTATCTATCTATCTATCTATCTATCTACATATATATATATACACACTGATCAGCCAGATATTAAAACCACTGACAAGTGAAGTGAATAACTTCGATTATTTTGTTCCAGTGCATTGTTCTGCTGAGAAACCTTTGGTTCTGGCATTCATGTGAATACCACCTGACATGTTCCACCCACTCAAACACTGTTGCAGACCAAGTAGCCCCTCATGGCAACAGTACTCCCAGATGGCAGTGGCCCCCCAGCAGGATAATGCACCATGCCACACTGCAAACATCGCTCAGGAATGGCCCGAGGAATGTGGCAACCTGGCCTCCAAATTCCCCAGACCCCAATGTGAATGAGCATCTGTGGCACATGCCATTAACCCACCTCACAACCCACTGGGCTAAATGGATCTGCTGCCAACGCACTTGTACCAGACAATGCAGGACACTCCCACAGTTCCTGTGTCCATGCCTTGACAGGTCAGAGCCAAGTCCGATTCAAGGAGATCCCACCTTGAATTAGGGGTACATCTGGGGTACCGGCACATCATAAGAATCCTTGAGCAGATTGGGACCAGGGAAATTAAGAAGCCAGGTTGAAAACTTGAGCTTTTTGTCACACTCCACAGTCCACTTCTAAACAGTTTTTGTAGTGTGGCATGCTGCTTTTATTCTGCTGGGGGGCCACTGTCATTGGGAAGTACTGTTGCCATGAGTGGGGTGGGGGGAGGTGGGGGGTACTTGGTCTGCAATGGTGTTTGAGTGGGTGGAACATGTCAGGTGGCATCCACATGAATGCCAGAACCAAGTTATTCACTTCACTTGTCAGTGCATTGCAAATATAATGTTTTGGCTGATCGGTGTATAAATCATATAAATATACATATATCCTACAGCTGAAAAAACCCCAGATGTTATTCTCTTCAGTCTCTCAAAATTATTCTCTATTTTAGAGAAACGTCTGGGCTCCTTGTCCACAAATGTGAAACCTGCAGCCAGACACCTGGCTGTAATATTTGACAGTGATATTTCATTTGGAAAACAAATTACAGAAGTCATTAAATCATGTTTTTATCAGCTGAGGAGCATCTCAAGCATCATCAGGTCATTTTTTTCTGCCGACTTGATCCGGAGAAGGTCATTAATACTTTTATTTAATCTTGGTTAGATTTTTGCAATGCCTGTGTTCAGGATGAAAAAAAAAAAACATCTCACACCTTCAGCTGGTACAAAATGCAGCTGCTCGGCCTTTAAAAAGCAGTTGAAAACTTTAGATTTAAAACTCATTTTAAGATTTTATTGATGACCTTTAAAGCACTGCATGGTTCAGCTCCCAGTAACATTGAGCCAGCGCGCAGCCTCAGATCATCAGAAGGACTCTGCAGGCTGTTTCTCAGTTCCAGCTTAATAGTCTGATGTTAATTTATTGAAGTCCTGAAATGTTTTTTCTTCCTGATTCAACCATGTAAAGCACTTTAGAACTTTGTTTCAGAGGTGCTGTGGGAATAAAGCGTACAATTATGATTATGATTATTATATATCTAAGAATATTCAGTGTCATCTAGGTGATCGCATGTTTAGAAGTCAAAGGCAACTGGATGGCTCCATGCTTTGTAAATTGTTTCTCATTAGCTCCACTGACTGTCAGGGAACTCCCTGGCATTCATGTGACTTCAGGGTGTGAGAGAAGGCTAAAATGCTTACCAGAGGGAAAACTGCTTCAGCTGACAGGCTTTAAGTAAATTCACAATATTCATTATGTGCATCTTCCTAATGCTCTATACCTCACCAACACCAACACCAACACATAAAACAGAGTGTGGAGTCTTACCTTGGTCAGGGGAATAGTTGCAATCTCTCCTGCTTTCTCAGACCTGAGGGGAAAAACAAACACAAACAGGAAGTTTGGAAAGTAATTTTATCAGTGGTCGCTCCTTCAACTAATGTTGATATGAGCAACACATTCTTTACCCAGGGAGAACCTGATGTTCAACAGCTGTAGTGCCACTTGACTGCACCACCCTGACAACAGAGTCATAAATCTTTTAACATTGTTGTCATTTGCTTTGTCACCCACATGGTCTTCAGACACTGTGTCAATTCAAATACAAATATAAAATAAGAGAATAGCAATTGCAACGTTATTTTTATAGCACATTTTATACACTGGGGCAGTTCAGTCTTGTTCATAAATAAGAGCAACAGGAGCATCTATATATAAATATAGGTAACACAAATGATATAAAATAACTAAAAAAACACAATAATGTATTTAAAAGAAAAATAATAGAAATAATTCCCGTTGTAAATTCATGTTGTTTCTGTCATTTAACATGAGTTGAAATGAAGCATTTTCATTTCATGAGAAAAACATATGGTGCTTCATCAGATGTCCCACAGGCTTGTTAGACCAATACATAAATTCAGTCATCTACTAGATCATAGGAATACAATCAAATTACAAAACTGCAGGTAATATACAAACCTTGTCCCAACAATCAGCAGCCATGGGCTCCTCTAAACAGCTGCCTAGCACTCTGAAAACTAAAATTACTGATGTCCACAAAGCAGGAGAAGACTATAAGAAAATAGCAGAGTGTTTTCAGGTAGTTGTTTCCTTAGTTCATAATGTAATTAAGAAATCAATCAATCAATCAATCAATCAATCAATTTTATTTATAAAGCCCAATATCACAAATCACAATTTGCCTCACAGGGCTTTACAGTATACGACATCCCTCTGTCCTTATGACCTTCCTTTCTCAAGTTGGATTTGACCACAGCCTGTGTTTGCCTCAAGGTGGCCCAAGGCTTCCTTTGCTGCAATGGCAGTTAAGAAGAACTGTAGAGGTCAAGTTGAGGTCTGGAAGACCAAGAAAACTTTCCAAGAGAGCTGCTCGTAGGATTGTTAGAAAGATGTAGCAAACTTGGAGCAGTGGTGCACTTTTCTACTGTGCAGTGACACCTGTACAAATATGACCTTCATGAAAGAGTCATCAGTAGAAAACCTTTCCTGTGTCCTCGCCACAAAATTCAACATCAGAAGTTTGCAAAGGAACATCTAAACAAGCCTGATGCTTTTAAAAACAAGTCCTGTGGACTGATGAAGTTAAAACAACTTATGAGAAAAGGCATGTTTGGAGAAAAAAGGGTGCAGAATTTCATAAAAAGTACACCTGTCCAACTGTTAAAGACAGGTGGATTTATCATGCTTTGGGCTTGTGTTGCAGCCAGTGGCATAAGGAACATTTCATGGGTAGAGGGAAGAATGGATTCAATTAAATTCCAACAAATGCTGAAGGCAAACATCACACCTTCTGTAAAAAAGCTGATTATGAACAAGAGATGGCTTCTACAACAGGACAATGATCCTAAATTGGGGTTTGAGCAGGCTGAATTCGAGCTGCTGCTCACTCTCTTCCCGCTGACGAAGTACCCTAGTGGTGGGATGTGAGGTGGAGGGACGGCAGCTAGCTAATTCTTGTCTCATATGTGGTTAGATAAACAGAGAGAGAGAGAAGGGGTGGAGCACGGAGGACTGAGTGAATAAAATAATAAAACACCCAAACAGTAAAATAAATAGAAAATCAATATGTGGCGGTCACTTTTGACATTGTAGCGGGCTACCAGAACTAAATCAAAGTATGGGAAACGCTGGATGTCTGATTGTCATTGTTTTCCCTTAAGCTGTGAGACAGATCACTTTAGCTTACATCGAGACTTTGTAAAGAGTTTGCAACCCCTCATTAGTTTAGTTAGTTTAATTACAAAGTATAATTCATACATTGCTAACGGTGTGTGAGGTTTGGATTTTTACAACTCTCCTTTGCCTCTGCCATAATATCCGAACTGAGAATACTGACCTAGTTTTTTCATATATGGTGGTGTGTAATGTAGTGCTGTAAAGGGTTACGCACTTTAAGTAGATCGCTTACCAAAGATAAGTAGCGCAAGTGCAGGTGTTCGGGGCCTACAGTGTACCATCAAAAGGATACTGAAGTATCCTTATTTTAAGGTAAAACAGTTGTATAATCCTGTTTAATGTCTAAGACATGCCACTTAATTGGTGTATATTGATGCAGTTAAATTCATATGTGGACACAATATACAATAACAGCATATTCCTGTAGAGAATAGTGTGTGATTTAGATCAGTCACTTTTGAATGTAAGTGTTCATTTGGCTATAGGTTGAAGATTACAGCAGAGTGTAGGAAACAATACACAAAATACACTTTACCAATGAAGTGGTTCATGTGATTTTGGAGAGAGCATGTACTCTAGTGATGCCACAGAAATAGCACAAACCAATCTTCTGCTTACAGAACAGAAACATGCGATCAGTATGTACTCACACTTCCTGTGTGCTCAGTGGCATCACAAAGCTCAAGTTTGGTTTCATACTAAATTCTACTGTTTGTGCCTTTACATTTATAATAGTTATAATAATTCATAAACAGTTGTCCCCTACATTAATTAATCTTCATTAGGAGTCATTGATATAGAGCCTGGCTCTCTCTGTTTCTCTGGTTGCTGGCCAGCTCCCAGCCTGAGTCTCCTGGGGAGATACAAGAATACTACAGTCGGGGAAAATATTGTCCTAAATATTAAATGGGGCCCAAATGGTTGTAAAACATATGGCAGGCCAGGGCTAAACCTATGAATCAGTGTTTCCATTTTAAACTCTAATTCTGGCCATTTGTCTGCTGCTGCGGTGAAGTGCTGTAGGTTACTTTGTTTGTTTCTGCTTTCCTCTGCAGCCCAGCTAACAGAGCAGAGACCTTCACTCTAAACACAGGTGGGGACAACTGAAAGACTTAATACATGTAGAAAACATGAGCCTAGGGCGCAAACAGCACAGGTGCACATTGTGTGTATGACATCTGTTACACAACCACTGTGAGTCCTGCATGAACATAGTGGTCACAAAGTCAAACTGCCCGAATACATATGGTTGGGAGTGAATTACAGCCCCAAGCAAAAGAGTTCAAATATCTCGGGGTCTTATTCACGAGAGAGGGTAGAATGGAGCTTGAGATGGATTGGTAGTTTGGCACGCCGTCTGCAGTGATGTGGGCGCTGTGCCGGACCTTCAGGGTGAAGAGGAAGCTGAGCCAGAGGGCAAAGCTTTTGATTTACTACATCTATGTCCCAACCCTCACCTATGGTCATAAGCTATGGGTAATGACCAAAAGAATGAGGTCGCGGATACAAGTGGCTGAAATGAGTTTCCTCTATATGGTGGCTGGGCTCACCCTTGGAGATAGGGTAAGGAACCTGGACATCTGGAGTGAGCTCGGAGTAGAGCTGCTGCTCCTTTGCATTGAAAAGGGTCATCTGATGTGGTTCGGGCATTTGATCTGGATACCTCCTAGGTGCCTCCCATTAGAGGTGTTCTGGGCAAGTCCAGCTGGTAGGAGGCCCCAGGACAGACCTCATCTAGCCTGGGAAGGTCTTGGGATTCTCCAGGAGGAACTGGAAAGCATTGCTGGGGAGAGGGACGTCTGAAGTATTTTGCTCAGCCTGTTGCCCCCGTGACCCGGCTTCGGATAAGCGGTTGAAAATGGATGGATCATGGATATCATATTCCTATACACACATGAAGGTCAATCAGTCGATCAAAAAGTGAATTCCTAACAAACTTTTAAAAAGGATTTCAACTGGTAACGCACAAATAAATTCAATTGTTTAAAAGCAATTTAGTGAATCTAATGATAACTAAAGTCCTAAAGATTGTGGTGACCCTCTGAGCTTTCATGGAATCTCTCCTCAGGCCAAAGTTTACACTTGACGAACAATTTGGAAAAATGACCAAAGTCTTGAAAATTGATATATTTCTATGTCATTCATTGTGGATTCAAATGTATTGTTTCTGCACAGGGAGTATCAAATTGCATGTAAAGCCCTTAAAACCCTGTTGTAAAAAAAGTATATATTGTATTTTTAAATTTCCTCCCTTTGTCTTGTTTTTTTTTATTATTATTCTTATTATTAATATGATTATTATTAGACAGACAATCTTTTTTATTGGTGGAGACCACAGACTGTATATAAAGATGGATGATGTGTCTCCCCCACTGTACAGAAGTGAAGCTAAAATATCCCAGATACGGCCGCTGCAACTTGCTCTGGTAAGGTCATTTGGAGCCAGAGTCTGCGCAGTAGCGCTCTCCACAGTATAACCTTTCCCGCCCATACAACCGTCTGACTATTCGCGAGCAGTGCCACTGAATGCGAGCCTACTGATTGGCTTGATTTGTATTTAATAGCATTGAATAACTAATTAAAACCAAACTTTACCAGAAACATGAACACTTGAACATACAGCAGCGTGATAAAAACTACCTTACATGACAGAAACCATCTTTAAAAAGACTTCATTTGATGTGTACTTTGAGTTTTTAGTTTGGCCCGTGTCCCATCCACTAACATGGAGAGGGTGGGCTTTATAACCTGCACTGCAGCCAGCCACCCGGGGGTGATCCACATATTTTGGCTTCACTTTTGGGGAGCTGTTATGTCGTCCATCTTTATATACAATCTTTGATGGAGACGAAACACTTTCCTATCTACCTACGACTGCACTAAAACTACGTCACTCCAGTGCAGCTGGATCACGTGACATGTAAATGTAGACTCTAGTCATATGACTTGGCCTGGAGTCATGATTTAATGACTTGACCAAAAAAGAAAATACCTGCAGATTACAGCTTATTGAAGACACAAGTCTTTGGTATTTAGGCAATTACTTGTGTCTTCCCATGGACTTAACATAGAAAGATGACATTGTAATAAGTGTGCAGCAAAGCATCTTTTTATTTTCCTGACAGATATCAGTTCGACAGCAGTCAGTTACATTGTTGGAGCAGGAAGGGA